CTGTGTGACAGGGAGAGCAGTAGAGATCCTCTCACAAACGGACGGGCTAAAAGAAACTTCAAGCGGAGAACCTTCAACCATTCATCCAGATGCACCCCATGGTAGTGGCAGTGCCCCTTCTGGTAAGTGTACCAGGTGGGGGATTACAGCCAGGCTGCTTGGTCCTAACCCTGGGAGTGTATATTGCTAATATATTTTTATTTCTCTCCCTAGAACGTGTAAGAAAGCCATGGTCTGCATCTGAGGTGAAGGCTGTGGAGAAGACCATGACACCTTTCATACAGACTGGAAAGGTCCCTGGGAAGTCTCACTGCCTGGCCTGCATTAATGCCTCACCAGATGACCTTAGACATCGGACATGGAGTGGCATTAAATTCTATGTCAAAAATAGAATCACTGCAATTCGAAAAAAAAATCTAAAATAAAATTCCTTTAAAATAGTTGTTTGGTTTCTATTGACTGTTTTGTATTACTTAAAGTAGTCCCAGTAAAAAAAGATTATGTCTATGGGTCCCATTCTGAACGGCCCTGTCAAAGGGACCCACCAGGTAACAAAAACGTGTGTGTGTGTGTGTGTGAAATCACCGTGGCTCCCAAACGTCATTAACAAAACATTACACCATCAGCAGCTGTTGTCACGAAAGACCAAACTATTTTATCTCCCATCGAATTGAGATTCCTGTGATGTCAGGGACAAGGGTTAGGCATGTGGCTCCGAGGAAAGACACAAAACATGTCACGATATCCAATACAGAGAGTGTGTGGTCCAGTATGTTAGAATAATGCATCTATGTGTTTAAAGGAGGCGCACTGTGCATCGAAACTCAATAGTGATCTAAAACAATGTTATAAAAGAGAAGATTCCAGTATTTAATCCCTTCATAAAGCACATATAGTGGAAAAAATGCTGCTTAATCCTCATCACAAAGTAATTCATGAAAAGTTGAGCAACTTTTGAAATCATTAAGGCACAGGATAATGTGTAATTTACACTCTAAGTGGACTAAAAAGAGTTTTTACAATTACAATCACACTTTTGGTGCCAGAATGTCCCTGTGACACATGCAGCTCCTAAACACAACTGGTGTTTTTTGTTAAAGGCAAAAACCAGCTAAATTTCCCCTAACAGACTGGAAACCCAAAAGACAGCCTCAAAAAACACAGGGTAAGGAGTGCTGCGTGGTACAAGCGTGTAAAGTTATATAAAAGACCAGGTGCTCAATTGGAAGAGGGGTTTAACTTAACAACAAAGAATGGAGTTTTGACTTTCCTGGTAAAGGCAAATCATGAAGATCTTAGAAAATCCAAAAAATCCAAGGCACTCGTGGTGATTTTCTAAGATTTGATGATTTGCCTTTACCAGGAAAGTCAAAACTCCATTCTTTGTTACCAAATGACAGCCTCATTCTGCCCCAGTTTGGATAACCTGCTTGAAAAAAACAGATAATCATAAATATCTGCATAAAACATTAATATTATGGACATCATGAAGACTGTACTTTTAAAGACGAGCGAGAGACAAGAAAATCTACAAGCAACACTAAAGCTCGCAGAAATCTCTCTAAAAACAACTAAATGACAAGAGGAAACAATCAAAACTTGATCCAAAGCCGTGTCAACTATGCATGTTATATCCCCTTTAAACTGACTGAAGTTTGTCACTGACCCAACAGCGACCTCTGCTGATCCAAACAGGCAATTACTCTATTATTTAAGTAGAAATACATTGGAAATCACAGCTCAAACTTATTTTCATACTGGCTTTAAAACAGAACCTGTGTCTGTGTCTTGTTTACAGCCACAAAGGGTGTTCCAAATGTCTATTTTGTTTTGCATATATTTATGTTGGAATCTGTATCATGCCAGTTCAAAGAAGATAACACATTTTCTTATTCATTTCATTCATTTCATTCATTTCATTCATTTCATTCATTTCATTCATTTTGTTAATTTTATTTATGTTATTTATTTTATTTATTTCATTTATGTTATTTATTTTATTTATTTTATTTATTTTATTTATTTTATTTATTTTTAATTTTTTGTTGTTATATTTATTCATTTATTACTATTATTATTTTATTATTATAGTTGTTTTATCATTTATTCATTTATTTTATTTCAGGCAAACACAGGAACCTCACAATTACTATTATCATAAAAAAACATACCTATAAAATAAAAAAATAAAAGAAGGGAGTGGGAAGAAGGGAATGTATTTAATCCCGCCCCATATTCTGTTTCTTTTAGTCATTCTTCATCTTCTCCATCCCCGAAACAATTAATTTCAGACCAATTACACGGATTGGAGGCATTTGAGCAAAAAGTGTAAAGTCAGAGAGCGACGCTTCTGATCCTTCTTCGAATACTAACTTATTTATAGTTTTGGTACGAGTTCCTACATTTGGAATCGCAGACACAAACTGGCGTCAATATTTTTACCAACACCGCGTCTGACCACCGCCTCCCGCAGAGAGACTAATGTGTGAGCTATGCAAGTGTCGAGGCGCTTATTCATTTCACTGGGAGGCACCGGGAACATGCCACCACCGAGTACATACAACACTGGCCATATAAGATACACTATGTCATTCTATATGTTTGTATTTCATGTTTTAGAGGGTGAAATAAGAGAGAGCACATCACCCCTCTGCTGACATCACTTCACTGGCTCCCCGTCACGTTCAGGGCGGATTTTAAGATTCTGATGCTTGTTTTTAAATGTCCACAGAGCTGTTCTATCTGTATGCCCCAAAACCAGCTTTTGTTCAATGTGCCCAGGTCTCGTCTCAAAACTGGAGGAGTGGCTCCTTCATTGGAGGTTTTTAAATCTAGTCTAAAGACATATTTTATACGGCTTGGCTTTTAACACTTATTGAGTTTTATCGTTTTCATTATTTTATATATTGGTGTGTATTTTATGCTGTTTTCTTGTATTTTTTTTTTTCATTTATCTTTTATGCCCGTGAAGCACTTTGGGCAGCTGGTGTGGTTGTAAATGTGCTATACAATTAAAGTTGACGTTGACATTGGCAATGACAAATACTAAATTAAGTAGACAATATGGTTAATCAGGTATGAAGGCTAAAACATCTCTCTGCCTGTAACTCTGTATGCCACCACCAGGGGGAGGGGTTCAAATCAGAGGCTTTTCTTTTTTTCTCTCAAACTCAAAAATGACCAGCAGCTAACACACTAGATTGTAAGAATTTTTTTCACTCAGGAATTAAATAAATAATAATAATATCATAATTTCACTTCACCAAAACAAATGTATGGGCAATACTTTGCAGGACGTAAAAAAGGATCTTCCAGTCTTTGGAAAGATAGAAATTAAAGAAATATTCAAAACGTTATTCCCTATAATCAATAAAACAGTGACCTCTGCTGATCAAAGCCTGCAATTACACTATATTAATTAAGTAGTAATACAGTGGAAATCAAAGCTCAAACTTATTTTCATGCTGGCATTAAAACAATATATTCGGTTAGAACATATTTTTAATTAATCAAATACTGTATCCAAATATTACAATTCTGGGCCCAACAAAGGACTTCCTCCAAGTAGCATCGTCTGGCTCTAACAGACTAAATAAAAACATACACCGAAAGTTTGAAAGTTCATTTTATAACCACTAAACATGACCTCAGGCTGTTTTCGTGAAACGTGTTGGGCTCTTCCCTCAACATATACAGAAATATGCATAAGAGCTAAAGCAAATGAATTATAATATTTAAAAAAAAGATTGGGAAACATTATAATTAAGAGGTCTACATAGAATGAATATAACTCTTAGGCTGTTTGAGTTTTGACAGGTGTTTGGAAGTTGGAGCCCTGAAACTTGACTATAATAAAATCAATAATAACAACAAAAATACAAGAAAATTATTTATGAAAAATGTAGGAAATCAGATTCAGGGCTAATGTAGCAATTCTACTGCTTTGATGCTTAAAGAAAGAAAGTAAACAAACAAATATTTGAAAAACGTGCTTCAAGAACAATTGTGAAATCATAGAGAAATCAGGCGTCTGCTAAAAAGAGCAAGTCTCAGCAATTCTTCAGTTTTTTTTAGAGGTGCACTGCAAAAGGAGATGAAAAATGAAAAAAAGTCAAAAATGTCTCAAATTTGTCAAAATGTATATTAATATGAGCACATTCTGACCATTGGGACAAGCAACATTGTCCTAATTTAGAAAGATACAAGTAATGTCTTCTTTGGAATGAGAAAATGTATTCAAATTGAGATAAAAACTCTCTTTTCAAGCCATTCTCACCCCCATATTGTATATTTACCCCATATTATATATTTACTATTTCATTTTATATATTCTATTTATCTTCTATTATTTATTGTATTGCTATTGCTTTTATTCATGTATTGTGTGTTAGTTCATTTTAGTTTCACATTTTTGTGTTTTACATATTGTATTGTTATTGTATTGTTTTTAGTGTACCCAGTGTTTCCTCTGGAGGAGCCCTCTGCACTGGGAGCGGTGGTCGGCATGGCTGTGGGGGTCGGACTCTTGGACCTGGTGGGGGCCTGGGGCCTCGGTTTCGGGTCTCCTCTGGATCCTGTGTCGTCCCCTGTGGCTACAGGCGGCTCTCTGCTCCTGGTGCAGACGGCTCCTAGGATGACGCTTTTTCAACTGGTTGCATCCGAACCCTGCCAAGTCTCTCATCATTGTTTTACTGTTTTACTTGTGTGTGTGTGTGTGTGTGTGTGTGTGTGTGTGTGTGTGTGTGTGTGTGTGTGTGTCAGAGAGTGTGCATGGGAGCGTGTGTGTGTTTGTCTGTGGTTTGGGATGGGTCTGTTGGGTGGTCGGGGGGAGGGGTCTTGGGTCGGCGGGATTGTTTTTAACCAAACTGTAAAGCACTTTGTGTTGCATCTTTTGTATGAAAAGCGCTTCATAAATAAAATTTGATTTGATTTGATTTGATTTTGATTTTTTTGTGAGTGATAAATATGTGACTGTAAAACCACACTCTCTGCCAGCTCACCATCGCCGTGCAGTCCTCGGAGCCGCTGGCCAGGACGTTGTCATCGTGGGGGCACCAGTCGATGTCCAGGACGGGCCCAGAGTGACCGATCACCAGGGGGTAGTTTTTATCCACGCGTCCTGTCTGGAGAAAACAGTCACTTTAAGTTGTGTTCAGGCATAAAGGACTTTAAGCTTATTTCAGGAGTACACAGGATTGTTTTGGTCATTTCCATTTTGTCTTGTTGTTTTTGGTGGGAGGGACTCGTCACAGCATAGAGTCTCAAAAGCTCTCGAGGGACCCATACATGCCCTAAAAGCTTTAATAATAATAATAATACATTGGTTTTATTCAGCGCTTTTTTGGACACTCAAAGACGCTTCACATGTTATTATTCTTTTAATCTATACACAGTGGTGATAAACTACTTAAGCCACAGGTGCCATGGAGCACACTGACAGAAGAGAGGCAACCAGTCTGTGCCATCGGCCTCTCCAACCACCACCAACCATTCACACACACAAGACTCATTCTAGGCAATGTGGGTGAAGTGTCTTGCGAAAGGACATAACAACAGTTTGACACTTTACAGCCGCCCTACTGTGTGTTTCCAGAAGTCTCCCATCACAGTACTAACCAAGCCCTGCCCTGCTTAGCCTCATAGGTCTGACGGGATCTGGCTTTCACATGTACTGTAGGTATGATGTCATACTTTTCATTCCATAATTATTGTATAAATGAGTACAGCTCTGACCCTTGTTTAGTTTTTGGTTTCTGTGGTAACTATTTTGAACGCACTCCAACCAGGAAATAAACCTAAAAACACTACAGTCAATTCAAATAACTTTATTTATCCGTGGGGAACTTCATTGGCAGACGGAACACCAGTGGGGATACACATAACACAGAAACACAAGATATAAAATACAAAATACTTGAACAACCACAGAGCTAAACCAAATTAGGTTAAAGAAGCTCTACCAGATTTGTTCCGACTATCTATGCTCGGACCACATTCGGACGCGCAACTAGCGGTAATCTTTCAGTTATATATTGTGTTAGCAGTGCGTTGCTTTTGTACCATTTCATCAGTGATTGTTGTACAGCTTACAAGAAGTTGTGCTAATGCTAATGTTTGCATATACAGTAGATCACAAATGCAACTAGATGGCTGCGTGGAATGAGAGCGAAGGGGAAATGAGAAGCCTGTGAGCGAGTTGAGGGGCGTTGCTAAACATTCAAACTTTGCAGAAACGGGTATAGCTCCTTTAAGGCCTGTAGTCTGATGGAAAACATGATGTCAGAAATATCGCTGTCAAACTCCATAACTTACAGCTGGTAACCACAGACGCAAACTTGATTTATTCTTCTTGAGTTTTGCATCAGATGGAGATGAGCGATGACCCCAAACTGACGGGTTATTAATAGCAGCGTGACGAGGCGTTGAAAGGGTAGTTTTTCGGGACGTCCAGGGGGGGCGCAACAGGGAGGGGAGGGGGGGAGGGAGGGGGGGGGGGGGGTATTTATAGTCCCTCCACCACCTCCTTCTAATCGTGTCTCAGTGAACAGAGCGAAGTAATCACCAACACAGTGAGAAAGATGACTCACGGAAGGTTAAAGATACGTTCTGGAAGCGGTGCGGCTGAAGAAAACTTAAAGAACAACTCTTATGCAATCTCTGAGTTATGTTTGAAGCCTGAACTAGAATTTCATGTTTTAAAATGTAAAGGTTTTGTGTAAAAGTACGACAGAACTTTCCTGGTGGAGCTTTCATCTATGTGCAAGATATTAAACTTGTCTGTACTAAATCATCAAAAAGTGCAAGTAATCTGCAAATAAAGAAGCAATCGTAGAGAGCAAACCACCGCCAAGAGGCACCGTTCCATTCATTCAAAAACTATTGCTGTTCATTTTTGTGTCCAGATACTGTTTTTGTGAGGTTTGAAATTAATATTTACTAAAATATCTGGAGTGAATGAATAATGACATGTGAAGCGTTTGAGTGTCCAAACGAGCCCTATATAAAATCCTAATTATTGCTGTAAAAATCTGCTCCTAACGGACTAACCGTGGTGAATACATTCCCCGTGGCAGAAATAGTCACGTTTTAATCATTCGCAGGAAAACTAGTTGTTGATGAAGGCAGAAAATTGTAACAAGCATTACATAAAAAATATAAAAAGGTTTTGAATATATGTAAGGATTATTATTCATTTAAAAGCATGAATCTTATATAAATCCTTAATCCAATCTCCCTCCCATCCATTTCATTACATATAGGTAAAATGTGTATTTTTATTTCCTGGACTCTTCTTGACCCTTGTGTCTTCTACACCGACGAAAGAGGATCTAAGAACCTGGGAGCAATCTTTTTTCCAAAACAAAGTTGGTAAATGTGTTTGTCTTCAGTGACCGTGGACTGTTCCCTTTGTTTTTCTAATATTTTTAACTCTCACAGTATCATTTTCTAATCTGTTGGTAAACAATTCAGTGACAATTCGGGCGTTCTGCTCTCCCAAAATTCCATCCGATGGGCGGGGGAGCGACTGAATTTTGCGTTGCATTATCGGTAACACTTGCCTTCGCAACTTCCGGTTCTCTCTGCCCGGCGCATTTTCTCTAAATGGTTGAGTGTTTTCGTCATTTTCTGTATGCAAATACATTCCCGTCTCTAACTAGTGGCATATCGCGCAAATCATCCGTCCAATTCACATTCTTCCCTCTTAGCTGAACTTCATTCTCATTGTTACCATCTGTCACTCGCACACACAGCCGTTTTTGTTCACTCTGCTCGCTGTCATCTTCTTCTAAATCTTCATAAACACCATCCGCTCGTTGAACTAGCAACAACAATTCCTCCTTTCGTTTTCCCACACTGCAAATACCCTTTCGCTTCAACCTTTCACGCAATTCAGGCACTGTCAATCGCTTGTTGTTTTCGTGAGCCATATTTGCCATTGTATGAAATCAACCGGAAGTGAACTGGGCAACAAACGATGTCATTTTTTGATCACAGCGCCGCTCAGTGGATGGAATTTTGGGAGAGCAGAACGCCCGAATTGAGACGCCACAAACAGTGAATAAAGAGTAAAGATGAATAATCCAGTGTAAATGAGTAAGAATGAGGAAATCCAGTGTAAATATCTGGTTACGATCTGAATCTTTCCGTTGGAGCGCGTCTCCAGCTGCAGTCGTGCTGTACATTAAAAGTTGTCACCAGGTTGGAGTTGTGTTACAAGAGTCCATCACTTATTTTAAGGAGATGCCATCATCGAGTCTCTGCTGGGACTGATCTAAATCCACCGCTGGTCCCTGTGGCTGTCTGCTTCAGTCAGAGCGGACTGGACGCTAATGTAAAGGCCCCAGTGTGACAAGAAAACAAGAAAGTGTGTGTTTGAGATCACCAACGCACACAGCCGACTGTACTCAGACTCCCAGAATTCTGAAACTACAAGAACTTACTGAAAACTAAGTCGTCAAAAAGTTTGTATACCCTTTACTTGCTTTTAACAAGTGCTAAGATGAGTGAAAAAACTTGGTTTGTTGAAACGCTAATGCTAACTGCTGATGATAAACAGTGTGTTGCCATGGTAACTGCTCTGGGAGTTAAAGTCATGATAAGATGATTTCATAAAAACATCCATCCATCCATTTTTCTACCCTTTAATCCATTTCTGGGTCAGGGGGGTGGCAGTCAGAGATGCCACCCAAGTCTCATAGCACCAGCCCCTCACTGACCCTCTGCAGGTGGTGAGTCCACAGGAGGACGGCTGCTCTCTGAGTGTGAGCAAAGCCTTGATCTTTCAGTGGGGGCTTTGGGCAAAGTGGGGTTAAGTGTCTTGCCCAAGGACACAACGACAGCAGTCATCAGTGGGAGTCGGTGGAGAAGGTGCAGAGGTGGGAATTGAACCCACGACCTTCTGGCCTTAAGGCCAATGCTCTACCAACTGAGCTACTGTCGCATAAAAACAATGACACAGAAATAAACTTTAAACCAATGCAGAAAAAGTCACAAATTTAGGAGGATCAAAAAGGTACATACGTTAAGTAGTTACACTTTCAAAACGCAAATCCGTGGAATTGACTGCTCTGGAAGTTCCAGGGTTAAAGCAGTGATTTTTACACCGCACGTTTTGGACGCTAAAGACGTTTCATTATTTCAATTATCAATTCGGGCGTTCTGCTCTCCCAAAATTCCATCCGATGGGCGGGGGAGCGACTGAATTTTGCGTTGCATTATGGGTAACACTTGCCTTCGCAACTTCCGGGTTCTCTCTGCCCGGCGCATTTTCTCTAAATGGTTGAGTGTTTTCGTCATTTTCTGTATGCAAATACATTCCCGTCTCTAACTAGTGGCATATCGCGCAAATCATCCGTCCAATTCACATTCTTCCCTCTTAGCTGAACTTCATTCTCATTGTTACCATCTGTCACTCGCACACACAGCCGTTTTTGTTCACTCTGCTCGCTGTCATCTTCTTCTAAATCTTCATAAACACCATCCGCTCGTTGAACTAGCAACAACAATTCCTCCTTTCGTTTTCCCACACTGCAAATACCCTTTCGCTTCAACCTTTCACGCAATTCAGGCACTGTCAATCGTTTGTTGTTTTTGTGAGCCATATTCGCCATTGTATGAAATCAACCGGAAGTGAACTGGGCAACAAACGGTGTCATTTTTTGATCACAGCGCCGCTCAGTGGATGAAATTTTGGGAGAGCAGAACGTCCGAATTGAAATAAGACTCTATGTCTTTACCGTCTTTCCTAAGGACACAACCGTCTGCCGCTTTACAGCCGCCCCACTGTGGCACCTGGTGTTCCCAAAGGTCTCCCATCACAGCACTAACCAGGCCCTACCCTGCACAACTTTAGAGGTCTGACAAGATCTGGTTTCGCACTGAGAGGAAGATCAGCTGAATGAAGGAAGACCTCTCTTTTACAATTTTCTGTCTGAAAAAACTGATTTAAGACATGGATTTCATTAAATAGTTTTGTTATTGTGGTTTGAAAGTTAGGTACCCCAGCTTTAACTTTTTTAAACTTTGTTTCAATTTGTTATATGAGAGGTCTAACTTGGTCATATGGGCTTTGAAAACACCAGATACATCACAGTAACACAATAGTGATTCCCTCTTGTTTTAATAGGCCCTTTGAGTTGCCTTGCGTATGAACTGTGCTATACATATAAACCGGCCTTGCCTAAAGCTTATCACCATTCTGCGGGACATACTTAAATCTCACTCTATACGTGACCTTTTATCAGGCTGTCGTCCAAAGCGTCTTCCCTCGGTGCTACTTGTAGCTACCACTACAGAATGTTCAGCTCAGAAGTGCTACGTCAGAAATGTGGAGCCAGTTTCCAAAAAGTGTCTCCGTGTTTCTGCAACTATTCACTGTAAATTTTTGCAATCGTCGAGGAGAAAAACTGTCGACCTAAAGTTACAAGAGCAATACAGTAAAAGCCATAAATAAGTGTGAGTTCAACACATAAACACGTGTCAATCACGAGAAACTTGTTCCTGGATTGCGTTTGACGGCGGCCATGTTGGAGAGGTCACACAGCGGGGTCTCTCTCCACACGCAGCTGTATGTGACACTCACCTGCGGGAATAATGTGCAATATTTAAAGCTAGGGTACTGTTTTTCTTTAAGTTTACATTGTGTTTGTCATTTTATTTTATGTTCCAGGTCTCAGGTCTCTGCACTGGCTTCATGTGGCTCAGAGAATATTGACTTTAAGCAGCTTTGGTTGTGGTCAAATCTCTATCTGTGACATGTTAGTGCCATGTGATCGAATCTTGAGGAGCACAGGGACTGGACTCCTGCTGGGACTCTGAGGTGCACAGGGACTGGACTCCTGCTGGGACTCTGAGGTGCACAGGGACTGGACTCCTGCTGGGACTCTGAGGAGCACAGGGACTGGACTCCTGCTGGGACTCTGAGGAGCACAGGGACTGGACTCCTGCTGGTGCCCAGAGTCAGGAATAAACATGGGGAGTGTGTGTTTCAGATTCATGCGGGCAAAATCGGCAACAGTCTTCCTGAAAATGTGAGAGAGGCTTCTTCTCTGAATATGTTTTAAATCCAGGTTCTGTTTCTCTGAGCTACAAATGAGGGAGTTTATCTTCACTATTTTTACGGCACTGTGAGTATTTATGATTTTAATGCCTTTTGTGACTGTCTCTCTCTTGTTTTGTTAAGTACTTTGAGTTGCTTTGTGAATGAATTGTGCTATATATGTAACTAAACTTGCCTTGCCTAAAGCACATGAAAACAACAGCTGAGGCTTACCAAAGAGCTGCACAGACCAGTGAAAAACAAAAACAATAAAAAATACATTAAAAAAAGTCAAAAATGAAATTGAAATCATCAAGATTGAAGTAATCTAAAATGCAGTCCATGTAATAATAATAATAATCCATTGGTTTTAAACAGCGCTTTTCAGGACACTCAAAGATAAACTACTACTGTAGCCACAGTTGCCCTGGGGCAAACTGACAAAAGTCAGCCAACCAGTATGTGCCATGGTCCCCTCTGACCACCACCAACCATTCACACACACACCCCCAACTCATTCAAGGCACAGTGGGTGAAGTGTCTTGCCTAAGGACACAATGACAGTTTGGCACTTTACAGCCGCAGCCGCCCCGCTGTGGCACCTCGTGTTCCCAGAGGTCTCCCATCACAGTACTAACCAGGCCCTGCCCAGCCCTGCATATGAGGCCTATAGATAAAAGCAATTTAAGCATTGACCAATCAGATGCCTTCAATCACATGAGGAATTTCCAGCTTCCCTTAGCAACCGTCCTAGCAACCCATATGCAAGTTAGGATCCCAATCATACATGAATTGAAATACATTACAGTCCGATGGTACAGTCTGTGGCAGCTTCACTGACCTTGGCGACGGGCAGCACCAGGAAGGCCCCTCCCCCGCTGGACTCCACGATCACGGCCAGGAACTTGGGGTTGACGGCGCAGAAGGAGGAGTCCCATGTGACTTTGGAGACTCGGATGTCGTCGTAGCCCTGCTCCGCCTTCACCGCCTGCCCGAAGACGTGGCGGAACTTACTCTGCCGCACGATGCTGCGACTCATGGCTGCGGACAGAGACAGGAAGAGGACACAGGACGTTATTCTGAGACTGAGGATTGTGTATGAGACCGAGACACAAATACAATCCTCCTGCGTATACACACATATAAATAGTAATGATCGATATTGACAGTAATGGCTATGTACAGTATGTACCGTGAAACAAATGTGTAGAAAACCACTCATGTATTTGTTGTTTATGATGCGCTGGTGCTGCAGGTCTGTACATGTGCCTCTTCTTGATTCTATTTAAGTTTTTACTTCAATCGACAAATTGTGAACAGAAATACATTTGTAAATACTTATTGAAATTGTAACATGATGGTGAAACTTCTATAGGGCAAATACTGTTGTTTGATTGTATATTTATGTTTATATATTTGCATGTGTTTGTACCGTAAGCACAGAAGGAAACATGTACAAAAGGTCAAGTAAACTAAGAAATGTGACTGTTGTGAATATTTATGAATGCAAAATTTCTGCACAAACAAATAAAATCAATCAATTTGGGTGGAGCAAAACCGACACTGGAACTGAAGAGCCGTGCCAATCCAGGACACCAAATGTTTTGAGTTGATTCTGATAACTTAATGAGCTTTGCAATCAAAAGGTCTTTTACAGATATATGCGAGGATTTTCTACTTCAGGGTGGATTCCTACATTTAAATTAAGTTTTCTGCAATTTTTCTTTCTATAATTTCATTGAAATAACAGTTAATTTTGAATCAATGAAACATAAATGCATCATATATATTGCTGATGTATATTAGAGAAAACCCCCAGTATTATATATACAGTATAAGGTCTCGACAGGCTCTGAAAGTCCACTGGAAAAGGATCAACAACAATGATTTTTGCTGGGGCATTCAAACGCGTGGATCAGGTGCAGTCGGTTATAAAACTATATATAACTGTATAAAGTCACATGAGATAAAAGAAAAAAAGAAAAGCCTTCTCTAACGTGACTATCCACTGATATGAACTCAGCAGCTCACAGCCCAAACCACACTTTTCTACAAGTTTGCAAAAGAAAACATGTTTTATAGTAAGATGAGACATTATGGTGTGGTCTGATTTTACTTTTATCGGTTGAGACAAACAACCAAAATGTAATATGATTAGTTTCCTGTTTTTTCAGAGTTAGGTACCTCCGCTTTAAGCACAATAAGACTCGTGCTTTTTCCACCTCTGGGGCACAGGGCTCATTACTGTAGCTGTTGTGGGTAAAAGTTCACAAGGTTCTTTAAATAAAACTTTAAAGAAGCTAGTACTGCTTAATTCCCACAGGTTTGGACGGTAGACAGGTGAAGGTGTGAGGCAAGGTGAAGGCCCCCTCGTCTCTGTTGATGGTCCGTGCTTCCTGCTTCCTGATTCAAATCGCTCTCACATCGCTCTTTTGTGTTCATGTTTTTTCGATCCGACCATTTTTGCATCATCCACTAATTAATTCTTTTCAATTCAACTCATTCTTGTTTAGCCCTAAACCACGACAGCAGTTTTCTCGGAGGACTTCACAAAGTTGCCGATTCGCCAACGCAGATCAGAGAATCAAAACGTTCAAACACAGCAAATGCAATGATGAAAAACACATAGTCATTGGTCCATAAGGGGCAGATGACCAATGTTTGTTAATGTTAATAATTGTCCTTAAACGTCCATTTTTCAGACTTTCTCTTATAATCATCACGTGTCTCACTAAAATAACCTTATATGTACTTTAAACATAAACATAGACATGATGAACTTTTTTAATAAGCCAAAGGTAATGTAAATGTATATGGGTAATCTAGTAAGAATATATTATAAAATGGTTTTGTGCAGGTTTGAAATAAATGTAACTAACAAACAATCTAACTATACAAATCACTCTTTTCTCAGAACAGTAGAAAGCTGTCAGTGTGCCCCGGGGCAGGTGCGGCTTGTTTACATATGTTTCTGTCCCGTCGCTGTCCCGGGTCCAGCGCCAAAGAGACTTAATCCTCTAAACGCCGTCCTCACTAAAGGGTATTAATAGTCATTGTCCCAGAGTTACAGAGCCAAACTTCAAAGACCGACAGAGATGTGATAAAAAACATTCTGTACGATAAACATAGACATGAAACATTCCTTATTTTTGTGTGTTTAAAGCTGAGGTACCTAACTTACTCTTCCCCAATACATTTCTGTTCCAACAGCGTGAAGTCATGAATCGGATGTAAATAATTGTCTGTTGTGTTGTTTATCTTGTGTCTCTGTGTGGTTGGGTGTGTGGCATTTTACCTGTATTTTTAATTCTGACTCGGCCATTTAAATGCATTAATTCTTTGCAATTAGCCCGTGGCTATGTCCGGTCTGTACAATGAGATAAATTGCGCATTGTCCCTCTTAAATAAATAAATAAATAGATAAATGCATACATAAATAATAAATACACAAAAACATAAGATCTAAAATAAAGAGTTTTGTAAAAGATGTGATTGAAGCAGACCACAACATTCAGTCTTCATCTTGTGAGAAAACATTGCATTTATTGTGTAGTTGTGTGAAAGTGTGAGTCACCATTTGACTCTTCGAGCTGAGAGCTGATTGGTCAAATAAGGGTGGTCCCCTGTTTTGAACTTTTCGATCTGAAAAAGCTGAGATAATAAATGCAAACTCTAATGATAGAATTATGATAGCATTGCAAACATTATTTCTCATTAAAATACAGGTTAACTTTTGCATATACGTGTAAAAGAGCGAGCCGATTTGATGCTTTGGGTTGAGAGCTGATTGGCTGAGAGCTGATTGGCTGAGAGCTGATTGGCTGAGAGCTGATTGGCTGAGAGCTGATTGGTGGTGAGGGTGGCAAAAGAGAGGCAAGAGGCAAGAAACAATAAAAGGCAAAAAATAATAACCGCATGTGAAATCTATAGTGATAGAATCAAACTATTTTGAGACTGCACCGAATCGATGGATTTGATTCGACAATTACCGTTTTTCTCATTGGCTTTGGTGCATTTTTCACATCATTCTTCACATTTGCACAACAGTTAGTGCATTTCTCAACATGAAAAGTTAATTCCTCAAAAGCAAGTCTTCATGTCAATGAAACTGTCTGTGTCGTCAAAATAATAAGTCCTGACACCAGTGTTTATGAACAACAGTCAAATGACTTAGTCACGTTTTTATTGTGAAAGTTTACTCTCTGTGTTTTCAATGTGAAAAAGTCAGATTTTTGTGACACTTGGTGAGCACTAAACACTCTACAGCCCAAAACTACAGGAAAGTTACACATGACTGTATTTTGTGTTGTGAGTACAAGACACATATGTACAGTATATATGCATTTGTATGTATGTATGTCTGTGTACTGTATGTATTTCACATATTTACTGCATTTACTACGTTTATTTACGTAGAACAAACATACAGAAATAGCATTATGATAGAACTGTGACAAATGTAAACAATAAAACACACACATCCTCATGAGTGAAGCTTAAATTCACCTGAGAGAAAAAAGCAATGAAATTAGGACTATCGGTTTTATAGGGAATGACTATTCAGAAGTCATAAGTATGTTTCATTTTGACTGACAGGACAGAAGCAAATGATAAAAAACAGCAGAAATTGTATGAAAGTATCTGATACATGAACAAAAGCATTTGAAATGTGTAATAGGAATGAGAAACTGCGGCAATGATGTCACACATGACTCAATGTTGTGGAGGTTGAACTAATAGTTTTGAGAACTTTGAGAAATGTACCAAAGCCACTGAGAAAAAACTGTAATCCATCAATATGTATTTATTTGAAAAAGCACATTTCACACCAACCTGGGCGTACCAAAGTACTGTACAGACGAGTCAGAAACAGCAACAATAAAAAACATAAAGTACAACAACAAAAATGAAATCATCTGAAATGTGTAGATTCAAAATTCAGCCAAATCAAGAAGAATTGAAATGGAAAGAAAACATTTGACTCTGTGCCTTTGTGCTCGACTGTGCGTGACTGACATTTCTATGGGTTTAAAACATGGTGAATTATTTGCACGTCTCCAGGGGCAGTTTCCTGGAAGCCTCCGTCGTGTCACATACCAAACCACGGGGCGTTCAGGGTGAGCGGGAAAAATATGTGTTGTGTCAAAATGTGTGTTGTTTGGTCACAAAAACACAACATCTTCGATCAGAGAAATTCACTAAAGGCGAGGCTCCCAAAAAATGTATTATTGTTTTTCTTCTTCACAGCTAAGAAACACAGCAGCTACTTATAAAAACTGCTGTCCTGTCTGTGCGCTGCAACACTGAAATTTCCCCACTGTGGGACATATAAAGGTTTTCTTATCTCATTATCTCGCAGTGGTCACCATTTACAGAGTTGATCCCTGGATTGGATTGGTCCAGAGGGTCATATCTACTGTCTGTGTTTTTGGAGGTGGAGGAATCTGTAGCATCTGGACAAAACCTACTCAGACACGAGAACATGCAAACTCCACTCAGAAACACCCCTGTTCTGACTGGGATTCGAACCCAGAACGTTCTTGATGAGAAGCGAGAGTGCCTACCATGCACCAGACAATAAATCACCTCATATATCATGGAAAGTTTTTTGTTTTCACTTTAACCCTTTAATGTTCTCTCCTTGAAGAGAGCAGTGTATTTTTGGGGATTTTCTAAGATGAAGGACACTAATAATATAAATAAATCTGTTTAATTATTTTTTATTATCGGCCTATTACCAAATTGTTGATGCAGTTTCATGGTTAAAGTGCCTAAAACCAAGTGAAAAGCCCCAAAAAAAGTATAATTCAGTTCCAAGCTTAAAATGATCTATCAAATGGTTGAGCCATAATGGTCTTTATGGCTCTGAACAAAGTGTAAAACCTCCTGAATTCTTTCCAAACTGCAAATCCACAAATCTGAAATAAAAACAGAGAACGCTCTATTTTAAGAATTTATTTTAGTGTTTTTCTATGGAAGGAGCAGGAAAGTTGTGTATTGCTGCTGTAGTGTATATACATAATCATATTCACATCTGAAAATCAATGTTGCTGCAGCACTGTCGCCTGTTTTCATCTTTTCACAATAAAAAGAAAGAAAAGAGCAGGAAACACACAGAGATACTTGTGTAAAACAGTGGAACTCAGTTGGTGTTTAAAGCTAGATCCGTTACACAAACTAGATATGTCTAATTTTACTTTCATTTTCGTCGTTTTAACCCTTATCTGTTTCTGAAAGCGAAGGAGATAAGGACTGAGTTGAAAAATAATGACATATATCACTAGAGCTGATCTGAGGGGTTCAAAAAGCGACTGTACGTAAACTGTATTTCCCACAAAGAGGCGTTTTTCTTATCGTTTATGTTTCATGCTCGACTTGAAGAGATTTTTATTGTTTTTAGAATAAAGCAGATGCAGAGACCAGCCGTAAATATGAAGAGAGAACATGTAAAAACAGACATCTCTGTTTGGAAAATGTGACAAAAAGCTGTTTCCTTAATTCCTCCAGCTACAGTCTTCACCATGTTTTGTTTTTGCCAGAACATTTCAAAGCATTTTCTCAAGACGTGTGACATTTTATTCGTATGGCACTAAAAGAAATGTGGCTTTTCAAACTATTTAGCAAAGAAATGTGTCTTCTACTTTGAATCCCCCACGGCAGGTCTTTTTGAGCCGAGGGTCGCACACGTTCACAAGACAATCATATGAAATGTATTTTTAACAACTCTTCATGGTAAAAAATGTAAAGGATAAATCACATTTCCGATTTTTGCAGCTAAAAACAGTCTTCCTGAAAATATGAGACAGGCTTCTTCTCTGACAGTGTGTTCAAATCCAGGTCAAAACAGTTCACTTTGGCTGCAAAAACTGAAGGATTTCCTCTTTACTCTTTTTTAACGTACTGTGATTATTTATGATTTTAGGATTGAGTTATTCCAATGTTTTACTGTAAATGGCAACTTTTCTGAATCTGATTGTTCCGGTCTTGTTTTGTTCAGCACTTTGAACTTGGCAGCCCGATTTTTTAGAAGCCAAGTTCACGAGTAAAATCATATCACGTGATCAATATCGAACGCATATAGTGTTTAACCCCTCTGCAGCACTGCCGCGGAGCACACAGAGCACTCAGTCCTAATATAGACATGACAACGAGCGCTGGGACTGAGGCTCCTGCAGGCCCCTGAGGAGGAGTGGACCCTCCCACCGGGGCTGCTCCCACATACCCCTACATACCCCTCTTCCCCTCCCCTCCCCTCCCCTGCCTCCCTCCCTCCCCATACATTCATCCATGTCTCACTTCACTGTGGCAATAACGAAACTCTTTATTAAATATTAGAGAGACGCAGAAGGTCCAAGGACACCTCGCAATCGCACCACACAAACACGCACACGCACACACACAGACACGCGCGCACAAACACACACACGCACACAGACAACAGCTGAAGGCGCAGAGAGAATCCTAAGTGGGGCCCAGCTGTCACTCACTGCTATTGGGGGCGGGGCTAGGGCCTCTGTCTCTGAATCATAAGTTTGTGCCAATCTTTCACAGTCTACAGTCCCAGTGTGTGTGTGTGTGTGTGTGTGTGTGTGTGTGTGTGTGTGTGTGTGTGTGTGTGTGTGTGTGTGTGTGTGTGTTTGTGTGTGTGTCTCACCTCGGGTTGTGGCGAGCCCCCTTCAATGCGCGCGTCCGTGTGCGTGTGTCCTGGATCCACTGGTCGCGTTAAAATCCAACTTTTCTCCCCTGGTTCTGTGGACGGACTGGGGTGACGCGCGGGGCTGCTTTTGCTGCTGCTCGGAAGGGAAAGGGGGAGAGAGAGGGAGAGAAGAGAGAGAGGAGGCCGCTCTGGCCCGGGACAGTGCAGGACAGAGGGGTGTGAGGGGAGGGCACCCGGGGCTATTTTAGACCCACGCGCAAGTCAAAGGAGACCAAGGCCCTCGTGCGCCCTGGTTCAGTCATGACAGCAGCAGGACACAGGTGTATGGTTATGGAAGACTTTCTGTGTGTCATCAAATTTTGATTTTTAAATGAGCTTGAATTTTTCCATTTGAAATTCTTAGCCCTGAAAAAGCATGTTTGAATATTTTTGTCTTTGCGTTTCAGCCACTAAAAATTCCGTTTACAAATTTCAACTTGATTAAAAATTCTCAGTGACTTAAACTCTCAGACGAAATTATTCAAGATAGAATGAAGAATGAAGAAGAATAAATCAATTCTGCCACAATCACAGTGCCTTGAATTGAATATTTTAAAGGAGAATATGTCATTTTGAATTTTTAATCACATTGAACAGTCTTGAAAACAGGTGAACCAAGAGAAATGACCCAAATGTACGGAAGCTTGTTAGGTTCACTTGTGAGTGTGTTTTTTTTCTCGCTGGTATCATGTTATTTCATGATACTTTCATGAAATAACATGATAAATATCATGTTATTTCATGATACCAGTTTATCATGTTATTTCATGATACCAGTTTATCATGTTATTTCATTATACCAGTTTATCATGTTATTTCATGATAAACTGGTATCATGAAATAACATGATAAACTGGTATCATGAAATAACATGATAAACTGGTATCATGAAATAACATGATAAATTGGTATCATGAAATAACATGATAAATTGGTATCATGAAATAACATGATAAATTGGTATCATGAAATAACATGATAAATTGGTATCATGAAATTTCATGATAAATTGGTATCATGAAATAACATGATAGTTGTGTATCATGAAATAACATGATATTTATCATGTTATTTCATGAAAGTATCATGAAATAACATGATACCAGCGAGAAAAAAAACACACTCACAAGTGAACCTAACAAGCTTCCGTACAAATGCGTTCGTTTTTATGGGTTTTATATTTTATTTTTTTGGGGGGCTTTTTGTGTGAAATTATGTCAATTTAAAGGGCACATTATTTACAGCTTTTCCCCAATAATTGAATGGAAAATAACGAGATATTCTGCTGAGGCCGATTGGGAAATTCTCAAATTCACCGTAAAAGTTTGATGCCAGAAAAGTTAAGATAATGTCATAAATCACTAAAGTTACTAAACTAAATAAAAGTGTAGAATTTTAATTTTGTGATCTGGGACATTTTTGCCCATTTGTTAATATTTATGCACATTGGTCATCCCGCTCCCTATGGACCAATGGCTCCTATTGTTTGTTAAATGTTTGATTCTCTGATCTGTTGTAGAGGAATCGGCAACTTTGTGAAGTCCTCGGAGATGAACTTCTGTTGGGGTTACAGTATATTCCAAAATACATTGAATTGAATTGAACCCTACCCTCTGGGAACACAGGCGGCTGCGGCTGAAAAGTGCCAAACTGTTGTTGTGTCCCTTGGCAAGACACTGCAGCCACATTGCATTGTCATTATTATACAAATATGATTGATTATTATTATTATTATTATTAGTGTTGAATTCCCTTTGTATTTTACAAGCTGTTGAACCATGTAACTCCAAGCGTGGGAATTGGGGTGGGACTAAATAAGTTCTTCCCACTCCCTTTCAGGCAGAGTCAAGTATTATGTTTATGATGCAATATACACTGTGCATTCACTTTCTGTCCTTACCTTTTTGCACAATATGAGATTATTTTCTACCTTGTGCTGATCTGTTCCAATGCCTGAAGTAAATCAATAAATGAAAACAAAAAATGAATGAAAGCTTCAAGATCAATAGAGGCTCATGAACGCCCCATACCCACAATTCTATAAAAGAACATGATTTAGTCCTTTCACTAGTGTCAGTTCAAAAAATATTTGTAAATACTTCTCGTTTACTCCACTACTACGACGACTGATTATCCACCTCCAGATCTTTCACGGTGGAGTTTGCAGGTTTCTCCCATGTCTGCGTAGGGACCCATAACTTGTTTCATCTATGCTCCCATAATCATTACCACGAATTGAAAAGGTTGGTGGGCTAATTGTTGAGAACTCATCGATGCACAGCAGTGGATAATCGGCTTCCAGAGCTTGAAAGACAATGACCGCTTCTCAGGAGATGTTTTTGGACAAACAGCTCAATTGTGTTAGTTGTCGCAATATATTGAGGTTAGGATCTAAAACAGTTGATGACAAAAATTTAACAAACGGTGGAATGCATGCAATCACGCAAAGTTCCCCTAGAGCAGTGAAATGTGTGGGCAATTGGATTGTGGTACCTATGGCAAAATGGGTAAACTTGTCTTATAACTCGGATCTACCAAGTGAGGTCCAGGCACAAGTTCAACATGTCCTTTTTACATAAAACGGGTTTATAACGTCAACCTTGCATGGAAATTAGTTATTTCTAACGTTATTTTGCCAGACACAAGCCAATATGGCAGGATAAGAGCCCCTAATCCCTCAAAAACAATAAGATTGACCAGTTGGTAATTTTAATATTTTCTGGTCTTTCTCCCATGTTAATATTATAAACCACTTGCTCCCCTAAGACTTGATACATTGAGACGGGTCTTGAATGCAACATACGTATGGCTCCTATGCAAAACAGATAAGGACTATTCAGTAGGGATGGGCAGAAGAAGCCCTGTAACACAGTGAGGTTCTTTGCCAGATTCTGTTATCAAATGGCTCGGAAGCCTCCGAGTTCTCATACTTGGTTGTTAACACTGACGACATAGTGGACAAATTTAATCTTTCAGCTGTCTGATTAATCCCCACTTGTAATAATGAAAATTTCACCATGAAACATAAACGGTAGATGACAGTGAATTGTAATTATTGGTAATTGTACAAAAAAAAAGCACAATTACAATTTGTAGTGTTTGCCCATCACTACTGTTTCAGCATCTAGACAAAGTGTTAATTCTGTAGTCGTATCAGGTTGTATACTAAATTTTAACTGTACAATATGGTGTCTAACAATAATGGTCTTTGTCCTTTATGGGCAGAGAGAGCTGCAGGATCTTTCCTGTTTATGGAATACACACACCATTCGCTCAAGCAGAAATGCAGTGGCAACCTAGAGGACGCCCACTCTCAAGTATACCCATTCCACTCATTTTTGGTGGGGCAGGTATCACGTTAAAAGCGGGTCTCACAGGAAGCATTCTGTTTGTAAAGAAGAATCTATGGCGAGGACCCTATACTTGTGATGAAACGGTCTTTGAATTTTGGTTGGCATGGCATAGAAGAACATTTTCTAACTCCACCCACCACAGCAAATGAATGCATCAGTTATAATTTACTATCTGAGAGTAGTACATACATCACAATAAGTAAAATAATTCAAACAGTTTGAATCTCCAGTTCTTGATGACACTTGCCTTGATGAACTGCTGAACTTATAAAAGCAGAGTGGCTATAGACCAGGAATCAATTGATGTTCCTGGTATTCTTTTAGCTAAGAATGTGTTTTATGTTGTGAAGGAGGAACTTTATGTGGAAAACACCCATATCTGTTTTGGCAAATGTCTTACTAGTCCACAAAAATAACTTTTGAATAATGTTTGCAAAAAGTTACTTTTTATCACCGTACATTTGAACAGGGCACACAAACTTTAAAACATTGCCCCCCCCTGACTACACAAAATACATTTTAGAAAACCTACAAACATGGTTTTTTAAAATGCTTTTCACAATAAAGAAATCTGGCAAAAGGATGTAATCTGAACATCACACCTCAGAAATGGATGTAAAAACGCTTGATTTTAAAACATGCAAAACACATACACTCATTAACCCTTTTAATAGTGGAACATATTTTGCCTGGTTCTAGTAATCATATTAACACTAACATTCAAGCAATTGGAACCACACTAATCTACGGTTGAGATAGGATGCTTTGCGCAATAGCAGTTTTGACTGCTATGAGGAACTTGTCAAAATTAAAACTAAGTATGCCCAAATATTATTTTTCAGAAAACGCCGAATGCCAAGAGCTTGTGCCTCTTAAAAGTAAACTGCTTAAAAACATTAAAAAAAACAAAAAAAAAAAAAAAAAAAAAAAAAAACAAGAAATCAGGAATTTCAATTTTCTCTGAACAATTGCTTTTTGACGCAACTCTGCCATGGAATAACAGAACAAGGACCTCGCGCCTCTAAACAAAACCAAACATCAGCAGAGCTCTCACTGGACAGATAACCATCTATTTCCACTCGCAACTCTGGGTAAGAAATGTAGGTCAAGGAAGCTCTAATGTTGGCCCACATGTATGACCAAGGGGGCGACGTGCAACTCCATCAATTGATGGTGAAGGAAGTATTTCGACGTTCTCAACGCAGATGACATCTGACCCTGATGACAAATTCTCAAAAGCTCTCTGAACAAAGTGTAAAACCTCCTGAATTCTTTCCAAACTGCAAATCCACAAATCTGAAATAAAAACAGAGAACGCTCTATTTTAAGAATTTATTTTAGTGTTTTTCTATGGAAGGAGCAGGAAAGTTGTGTATTGCTGCTGTAGTGTATATACATAATCATATTCACATCTGAAAATCAATGTTGCTGCAGCACTGTCGCCTGTTTTCATCTTTTCACAATAAAAAGAAAGAAAAGAGCAGGAAACACACAGAGATACTTGTGTAAAACAGTGGAACTCAGTTGGTGTTTAAAGCTAGATCCGTTACACAAACTAGATATGTCTAATTTTACTTTCATTTTCGTCGTTTTAACCCTTATCTGTTTCTGAAAGCGAAGGAGATAAGGACTGAGTTGAAAAATAATGACATATATCACTAGAGCTGATCTGAGGGGTTCAAAAAGCGACTGTACGTAAACTGTATTTCCCACAAAGAGGCGTTTTTCTTATCGTTTATGTTTCATGCTCGACTTGAAGAGATTTTTATTGTTTTTAGAATAAAGCAGATGCAGAGACCAGCCGTAAATATGAAGAGAGAACATGTAAAAACAGACATCTCTGTTTGGAAAATGTGACAAAAAGCTGTTTCCTTAATTCCTCCAGCTACAGTCTTCACATTTTATTCGTATGGCACTAAAAAGAAATGTGGCTTTTCAAACTATTAGCAAAGAAATGTGTCTTCTACTTTGAATCCCCCACGGCAGGTCTTTTTGAGCCGAGGGTCGCACACGTTCACAAGACAATCATATGAAATGTATTTTTAACAACTCTTCATGGTAAAAAATGTAAAGGATAAATCACATTTCCGATTTTTGCAGCTAAAAACAGTCTTCCTGAAAATATGAGACAGGCTTCTTCTCTGACAGTGTGTTCAAATCCAGGTCAAAACAGTTCACTTTGGCTGCAAAAACTGAAGGATTTCCTCTTTACTCTTTTTTAACGTACTGTGATTATTTATGATTTTAGGATTGAGTTATTCCAATGTTTTACCTGTAAATGGCAAACTCCCTCCCACTTTGAACTTGGCATTTTTTAGAAGCATTCCGAGTAAAATCATATCACGTCTCACTTCACTGTGTTTAACAATAACGAAACTCTTATAGATTAAACGAGCGCTGGGACTGAGGCTATTACCTCTCCCACCGGGGAGACGCAGAAGGTCAATAACGAAACTCATTAAATATTAGGAGACACCTCGCAATCGCACCACACAAACACGCACACGCACACACACAGACACGCGCGCACAAACACACACACGCACACAGACAACAGCTGAAGGCGCAGAGAGAATCCTAAGTGGGGCCCAGCTGTCACTCACTGCTATTGGGGGCGGGGCTAGGGCCTCTGTCTCTGAATCATAAGTTTGTGCCAATCTTTCACAGTCTACAGTCCCAGTGTGTGTGTGTGTGTGTGTGTGTGTGTGTGTGTGTGTGTGTGTGTGTGTGTGTGTGTGTGTGTGTGTGTGTTTGTGTGTGTGTCTCACCTCGGGTTGTGGCGAGCCCCCTTCAATGCGCGCGTCCGTGTGCGTGTGTCCTGGATCCACTGGTCGCGTTAAAATCCAACTTTTCTCCCCTGGTTCTGTGGACGGACTGGGGTGACGCGCGGGGCTGCTTTTGCTGCTGCTCGGAAGGGAAAGGGGGAGAGAGAGGGAGAGAAGAGAGAGAGGAGGCCGCTCTGGCCCGGGACAGTGCAGGACAGAGGGGTGTGAGGGGAGGGCACCCGGGGCTATTTTAGACCCACGCGCAAGTCAAAGGAGACCAAGGCCCTCGTGCGCCCTGGTTCAGTCATGACAGCAGCAGGACACAGGTGTATGGTTATGGAAGACTTTCTGTGTGTCATCAAATTTTGATTTTTAAATGAGCTTGAATTTTTCCATTTGAAATTCTTAGCCCTGAAAAAGCATGTTTGAATATTTTTGTCTTTGCGTTTCAGCCACTAAAAATTCCGTTTACAAATTTCAACTTGATTAAAAATTCTCAGTGACTTAAACTCTCAGACGAAATTATTCAAGATAGAATGAAGAATGAAGAAGAATAAATCAATTCTGCCACAATCACAGTGCCTTGAATTGAATATTTTAAAGGAGAATATGTCATTTTGAATTTTTAATCACATTGAACAGTCTTGAAAACAGGTGAACCAAGAGAAATGACCCAAATGTACGGAAGCTTGTTAGGTTCACTTGTGAGTGTGTTTTTTTTCTCGCTGGTATCATGTTATTTCATGATACTTTCATGAAATAACATGATAAATATCATGTTATTTCATGATACCAGTTTATCATGTTATTTCATGATACCAGTTTATCATGTTATTTCATTATACCAGTTTATCATGTTATTTCATGATAAACTGGTATCATGAAATAACATGATAAACTGGTATCATGAAATAACATGATAAACTGGTATCATGAAATAACATGATAAATTGGTATCATGAAATAACATGATAAATTGGTATCATGAAATAACATGATAAATTGGTATCATGAAATAACATGATAAATTGGTATCATGAAATTTCATGATAAATTGGTATCATGAAATAACATGATAGTTGTGTATCATGAAATAACATGATATTTATCATGTTATTTCATGAAAGTATCATGAAATAACATGATACCAGCGAGAAAAAAAAACACACTCACAAGTGAACCTAACAAGCTTCCGTACAAATGCGTTCGTTTTTATGGGTTTTATATTTTATTTTTTTGGGGGGCTTTTTGTGTGAAATTATGTCAATTTAAAGGGCACATTATTTACAGCTTTTCCCCAATAATTGAATGGAAAATAACGAGATATTCTGCTGAGGCCGATTGGGAAATTCTCAAATTCACCGTAAAAGTTTGATGCCAGAAAAGTTAAGATAATGTCATAAATCACTAAAGTTACTAAACTAAATAAAAGTGTAGAATTTTAATTTTGTGATCTGGGACATTTTTGCCCATTTGTTAATATTTATGCACATTGGTCATCCCGCTCCCTATGGACCAATGGCTCCTATTGTTTGTTAAATGTTTGATTCTCTGATCTGTTGTAGAGGAATCGGCAACTTTGTGAAGTCCTCGGAGATGAACTTCTGTTGGGGTTACAGTATATTCCAAAATACATTGAATTGAATTGAACCCTACCCTCTGGGAACACAGGCGGCTGCGGCTGAAAAGTGCCAAACTGTTGTTGTGTCCCTTGGCAAGACACTGCAGCCACATTGCATTGTCATTATTATACAAATATGATTGATTATTATTATTATTATTATTAGTGTTGAATTCCCTTTGTATTTTACAAGCTGTTGAACCATGTAACTCCAAGCGTGGGAATTGGGGTGGGACTAAATAAGTTCTTCCCACTCCCTTTCAGGCAGAGTCAAGTATTATGTTTATGATGCAATATACACTGTGCATTCACTTTCTGTCCTTACCTTTTTGCACAATATGAGATTATTTTCTACCTTGTGCTGATCTGTTCCAATGCCTGAAGTAAATCAATAAATGAAAACAAAAAATGAATGAAAGCTTCAAGATCAATAGAGGCTCATGAACGCCCCATACCCACAATTCTATAAAAGAACATGATTTAGTCCTTTCACTAGTGTCAGTTCAAAAAATATTTGTAAATACTTCTCGTTTACTCCACTACTACGACGACTGATTATCCACCTCCAGATCTTTCACGGTGGAGTTTGCAGGTTTCTCCCATGTCTGCGTAGGTTTTCTCCGGGTGCTCCGGTTTCCCCTACTACTAAAATCATGAACAATAGGTGCCTCTTGTATGTGACAAATGTCCTCAACATTTGTTTTAGTTTTGTTTTTGACTCTGGTCTGTGAGAGGTGCTAATTAGATATGACTTACTTTTTATATTCTGCTGTAATTTGTTTAACGATGACATTGAAATTTAAGTGGGACAAATAAAAAGTTCTTGTTAAACCATATTTTTGAGATTATAAATAGCACCAGCCAAAAAATGAACAAATAAGAAGGTTTATGAATTATTTGGATGTTATTGACTGAAGTACTATATAATAAACAAGGAAAAAAACACAAGTCATACTAGAGTAGAAGTCAAATTTTTTTGGGGAAATAATAATAGCCCGGGCTATCATTTGATATTTTACGGTGAATAAAATATAATATATATATAATATATATATATATATATATAATATAATATATATATATTAATAATATTAATATATATTAATATATATAATATAGTAATTTCACACATTAATCAGTATAACTAGCACCCCCGGCCAAACTATGACAAAAACTGCGACCTTTAATCCGAAAAAATAGGGTAATCTTATCTCTTCGTTTTCTTCCGTGTTGTGCCAAGAATCAAACAAAACCCATTCTCAATATTATTCATTATTTAATGGTCACAGTTGAGACAAATTATATAAAAGAATATTTACATGATAGTTTAAAACACATCCCAACATTTGCTACTCCCCCAAAGCATGCTCCCATCGTAGCGACCAGACATTTAAAATAAAAAAGCCACAATCAAATTAAAAAGAGTAAAGTGCATGTATGACAGAGACCCCCAGCAGACTGTGCTACACTCACAGATATAGAAAAACATGTACAGCTCCTAAAAACTTACAATAGAAATCTTTAAACTTCCCCCAACCAGCAAAAATAAACAAAGGATAGTCTCACCCTCACCCTCACCCTCACCCAAACAGCAACACGTACAATTTGCAGATTCAGTAAAGAATAGATGACTGATAGAAATGTCAAATTGAAGACATTTTTGAAGCGGTTTTGGGGAATTTCAACGCCACAATCAACGTGGAAACATCCCAAGGCTCATTTGCATCAGTACTACACAGCTTTACCTATACTTTTATAAAAAAAAAACATGAATTATTTTGCGCCTAATAAGCCTATGTTTTGCTTTTTCTTGCTTGCTTTTAATAACATGTGTTCCTGTAAAAAACCCGGCTGGTGTTGTTGTAAATGTGCTATATATAAATACATTTGGGATTTGCATTTAAATAGGCTTTGATTTTTTTTTTTACTGGGTCATCTAGTGATTTACAACAAAAAATAATCAAATATCACAACTTTTCCAAGCCCACAAGTGAAGATTTTGTTTTCTTCCCATGACAGCTATGAACCCTGTATGACTGAGTTTCAGGCCGGTCGCAAAGTTCCCATCTCTGGCTTCAAAAAAAGCCCCGATTTTCCAGATTTTCCCCGACTTTTGAACTGGAAGAGTTACCTTTTGACATTTACAACAAAGACAAGTAAAATTTTCAACTGGAAAATGGTCCGAGACGCTATGAGATAGAGATGGAAAGTTGGCCCAATGCTGTGTCTAGAGCCTTTTTGACCACTAGATGGCAGAATACATTCATTAATTCAATTAGACAACCTTTTAACACCACTATTGCCCTGTTTTGATCATTTTTAAGTCCTTGGATTTGTCTTCTATCACATTGAATACTTCACTTTTGGGGGCTACCCTGACTTTTTTTCTTTCAGATTGCGATGGACTTTTAAGAAATCGTGACCTAAAGATTTGGGCTCTATGAGGTAATGTGCAGTCAAAGCTAAAACATGTGACAGACAGACAGCCTTGCCTCCCTACGCACTTATCCCAGCTACAAAAAAAGAAAAAAATAGAAAAAAAAAAGAAGACTATCCAGAATTCAACAGCAGTCCAGTTTTCCTTTAAAAACTAAAATAAACGGGGAGAAAAAAAGCTCCTCGAAACAAAAGAGATGGAACCGTGGATACATTCTATCTAAAAATAACAACAGCGATAAACCAGCGATTGTATAAAAATGAGAGGATTTGAGGACTAGGTGGAGAATGAGTTTTCTTGCGGTTACAGACGATACACAGAGATCCGTTTGGTGATATTCACTTGCAGTAACTTACATTGTTACATTGATAATATTTCTTCCAGAGGCGGTTGGCAGATTTTGCTGGGAAAAAATACAGAAGCTAGTTTTCTTAAGGCAAGAGGCATCGGTGTGTGAGTTTTGCGGATCAAAACCAGCGCTGTGATGTCGCTCAATCTGTTAAAAATGACTTGAATTCAGAATATTGTTTTGGTTTTTAAGAAGGTGCACTGTGTAACTTTCTTGTATTTAACCCTTCAAGCGCCAAAGTAGCAGAATGGCTATACAAAGAATTTAAAATTTAGCAAATTATCTTGAATACATACAATCTGAAGTATACATTTAGGGTTTTACAGTATTATGGTATATTTATGCGTTTTGTCGTAATGAGTCCATTTCTTATTTTTATTACGGCCACAAAAAGGAGTAGCTCTCTGCCTCTTTTGTAGCATAAAAGAATCTCTCGGATGCCATCATTTTCTTCTATGTATTTCTGTCTCTTAAATACAGAAATACATAGTGTCAACTTTTGTCCATTTGGTGTCATAATGGTGTCAACTTTTGTCCAATTCACAACAAATGTTCAAATAATAGTGTAGAACGAAGTATTGTTTTAATTAAGTATTAAATGAAATACTTACCTGTTTCTCTTTTGTGCATTGGTCATTTACATTTGCGTATTACGTCCACCAGGGGGCCCTCTACACAATTTTGCACGTCAGTTAAAAGGTAAATAGGAGGATTTTTCAACATTTTAAGAAAGTACCGCCCTCTCCGCTTTTTGAACAAAACTCTCTGGTCTGGTCTAATTTGACGAGCACGTATCGCCAGAATGATTGACAGTTGGGAGGACCAATAGTCTTGATGATCCACCCGGAAGTAGAAAATCCTCCTATTTACCTTTAACATGCATAATATATGTGACATTTCAGTTAAGTCTTATTTCCTCATTTTTTGTAATATCTTTGAATATTATGAGGAACATGGATTGCAAAACTTGAATTGTCACATTTTTGCCAATTCCCACCTCCAGTGTTTATGTCATAATTAGGTAACTATGACAACGGGAGCAGAACCAACCAGAAAAGTTACACAATGCACCTTTAATGTACTGAGATTTGGGTTGTTTTATTTGACCTTTTTGTGTATTTACCCCTGGTTTTGAACATTCCCATTCTGCCCATTCACTAGATCCATTTGATGTATTGTTTTGTTGTGGTTACTATGGTGACTGTGCTAATAGCTTCTCACTCGCTTATCAACCCATAAATATAAATATACATTATTCTCGCTGGCAAAATCTGTCTATCATCTTTTGTTTTAAAATAATATTCTTTACTCTGGCTAGTTTTTGTTGTTGTGCCAGCGAAAGAGTTGATCAATACTTTGAATTCTAGTAGTTTTATCTCCCGTCCGCTCTCTCTCTCACTCTCTCCCACACACACACACACATCCATACACCCACCCCACACACACACACACACACACACGATCAGAGGTTTCACATGGTGTGGTAAAGGGTCCCGGTCCTTTTCTTAAGTCTGCGTAGGGGGTGAGTCCGCCCGTACTGCTGCCGTGTTGTGCCGGGGTTCACTACCAGCGGGTCCTGCTCCGGGGGCGTGGGGCTGGGGGAGCGGGGTGGTCCAGCTGGGACGTCCCGCGCCTCAGACTGGGGGGGCTGGTTGGATAACAAGGAGGAGGGCGAGCGGTGGACGCGCTGCTTCTTGGACTCGTCGTTGGCCGCGTGGGGGGTGCAGGGGGAGGAGGACGAGGAGGGGGAGGGGGAGGAGGTAGGGGCCGGGCGGGTCAGCTCCCAATCACTCAGCTCGTTGGCCAGCAGCTCTAGGCAGCCCAGCTTGGCCAGGGAGGCGGAGCGCTTCATGAGGGAGGGGGGGGTGAGTCCCGCCTGCCGGATCCGCGCCTCCACCTCCCGCATGCGCCGCTGGATGCTGCTGCTGCTGCTGCCGGGGCCGCGGGTCTGGGCCACTCTCCGCGCTCCACCCCCTTCCCTCACCTGCTGCAGGAAGGCCCCCAGCTCGCACAGTGTCTCCCAGGTCTCCCTCATGATGATGTCGCCGCCCGGAGCCGGACCGTCCCAGTCTGTGGCGGACTCCAGCTCCGTGACGCCCTCCAGACACAGGAAGTTGACCGAGGCGAAGGGGGAGTGGCCAGTGTAGTGACCGGAGGTAGACAGAGACCTCTCAGCAGGAAAGACCTTGGCTCCTTTTGTGCTTCTGTAGTTGTGCTTGAGCATGTCGCGGTCCTGCTCCTCCTGCTGCCGCTCCTCCTGCTCCTCCTGCTCCTCCTGCACTGGGCTGACCACAGACACCTCCGCACACGGCGCGTCCTGGACACCGGAGCCCAGAGCGGACGGGAGGCTGGCTGTTCGGCGCTGGGTCCAGGCTCCGGACAGCTGGGGCGGGGAGGAGGAGGGGGAGGGCACGTCCTGGTCTTTCCGCATGCGCTGCTCGAGCTGCCGTGTGACGCGCCGCACCGAGCCCCTGGTCCAGTCGTTGTAGAGCCGCGGCGCCTCCTCTTCCTCTTTGTGTTTCGCTTCCTCTTTTGCACCGACAGCTTCCTCTTGTGATAAAACATCGAGCTGCTTCGACTTGTTCACGTTTGGGTCAGGCTTAGGTCCTGCGGCCGGCACAGGAACAGCTGTTTCCTAAAAAAGTACATAACAATATAGAAATGATAAGATGCATTTAATCTATGGTACCTGGCTTTTATTTTCCATAAATATAAAGTGTTTGTCTCAACAAAAAGAGTAAAAGTATAATTTTGTGAACAAATCAGACCACAACATGTAGTCTTAGTAGAAATATTTTATCCTTTGCAGACTTTGCATGTGTAATTTTCTCCTGTGGGAGATTAATAAAGTACATCTTATCAAGATAAGATTTTCAGTCTGAAAAAGTGAAAAGATGTGAGAGAGGCCAAAGATACATGCAAGTAAGATAAGATAAGATAAGATAAGATAAACGTTATTGTCCCGAGGGGATTTTGCTGTGGGATACAGAGCTACACATATCTGCATGAATTAATAATAAATATATATTTTTAAACTATGTAGGGGGGGGAAAAAAGTGCAGTGGCGCTCTGTGTGGTCAAATTCTGCATCAAAATAAATAATAAGTCCTGGATAAAATAAAAATAAAAACATTGTTGTACATGTAAATTGTGAAAACTAATAGAACCAAACTGGTCTAGTTAAATGTAGTATTACAGCATTACATTTTTTGAGATTTGAAAGTCAGGTACCTCAGCTTTAACAAATGCTAACCATGACTCTGCTCTGTGGCGTCATCTACAAACTAAGCAGAAAAATTCACCTTTTTTTTAACACCATCTCTCTCTTCGCTCCCAGCTTCTGTCGGCACCAACTGTTCCTCCTTCTTCGCCGCCGTCTTCCCGTCCTTAGTCATCCCCTTGAACTTTTCCCTGGCACTGAAGAAGTTGATGTGGTCGGCGCTGTGAGCCAAGAGCGCCTCGCCGTCCTGAGGAATGGCACTGGGGTGGCCGCTGAACGTGGCCGGTGGCGTGTGGGCCGTCAGGGACAACGCACACAAGTGTTGCTCACAGTCTGTGTTGTTGTCAGGCACTGCTGCGGACGCACTCTTGGGTCCTGGCGGGGCGCGAATGGCAAAGGGCTGAGGCACGGACACTGGCAACGGTTTGACCACGGGACACGACAACAACAACAGCGGCGGCAGTGGGGGTGGTGGCTTCTGCCCGGGCGAAGGCGGGAGGTGGTGCGGTAGAGGAGGCGGGTGCAGTTGGCCGAGAGACACGCACTGCGCCACCATGGACACGCCAGCGGGGGGCATGACGGTGGCGGCGCGGGGCTGGGACAGAGGTAGAGACGGAGGCGGAGGCATGAAGGAGAGCTCGTCACACACGCCGTTGGAGAGCGGCGGAGATGAGAGCGGCGTGGAGGGCAGGCTCTGAGCCGAGAGCGTGGCGAGGCCTTCTACAGACGAGGAGGAGGTGTGTTTGGGTTTGCCGTCGGCCTGGAGCGAGGAGGATCTGGTGGAGCGAGGGGCCCCCAGAGACTCCAGCAGTTCTCTGACGGAGGGACCGGAGGTGGGGGTCTGGTTGTGCGGGTCGGCGTGGCCCAGGCTGTTGGGCTGAGCGAGGGTCTTGGACAAAGGCTCGTGGTGCTCGGAGAGGTCGCTGTCGGAGTGAGAACGCCACAGTTTGTTGTGTCTCTGTTTGCTGCAAAACACAAAAACAAAACCATAGAATTCAATGTAACTTTCGTTTCAAAATGTGGAGAGAGACAATGTTATAATACAATCACTGGATAGATTATAGGCTTTCAAGAACGTTTAACAATTTAAAATTAATCAAATTGAAAAGAAAACCTAACAGGGCTCTCTAAACTTTTTACTTTTGAATGTGCAGGAAACGGCAGCAAGTGTCTCTAAAACTATTTTTCTGCCTGAGATGTTGCTGCAGTACAGTGTTCATGGTTTTACACTGGTCCAGAGCAGAGCAGAGGATTCATGGTCTGAAACAAGCGGATCAGGCAAAAATCCACTGGAGGAATGCTAACTTTTTGAAAAATACTAATGAAGCTTTCAGCATTTCACTTTGGACTAGAGCAGAGAAAATGGTCTGAACCAAGAGGCTACTCCACCTCTGCTGCTGTGACCTGAAGGACTGTTGCTGATTATTACTATTGTTAGCTTTTATGGAATGATCAATTTATTTGTTTTGTTTATGTGGATGGGTGTGGTTTGCTGCTACTGGACACCTGAATTTGTCCTACGGGGATCAATAATAAAGTCTATCTTTCTTGTCTCAGCCCGGAAATAGTGACAGAAATACAGCTTACATGCTGTTAAGGGCTTATAAGGATCTCCATTGAACCCAAGTCTTAATTACGTTTTAAGTCTTACTAGGGCCCCAATTCTGAAACTACTAGAACTCCCAGAGTCGTCATATCGACTGCTCATATGCAAACCAATGGAAGTAATTCATAAGGTTTTTTTGTTGCTAAAACTGATGACTAAAACATTAAATACAGCAAAAAGGAGTTTGTTGCTATGGTAACTAGTGGTACTGGTACTGGCTCTACTCTGGGAGGTAAAAGGTACAACTCCTCTGGTTTCAAAAGTAAAAGAAATGTTCACAAAACTAATGACATAGGAATAAAACTACATTTGGAGACGATAAAAGTCACTGAGCTCTGCAGACCAAGAATAGTAGTAAGAATTTATTTCAAACGTTATGCAAAAGAAAACAATATAAACTATAAACAAGACGCAAGAAAAAAAAAAAAACAAGAAACAAACTGTTTTAATGTACATGAGCAGAGTGATTACAGACTTATGCTGATCCCAAATAGAACCCAAGTCATTCTTACGTTTTATGTCTTAAATCAGTTCTCTTAAGACTTTCCAGTGAGTTTACCTGGCCACGAGAATGCCCTGATACTCCTCCAGCTGTCTCATGAAGGAGGGGTTGGGTTTGGTCACAGTCCGTCGTTCTTTGACGTAATCGAAGGCTTTGTTCAGGTCCCAGCCGTATTCTTTCATGGCGTACGCGATCACCGTGGCAGCAGAGCGACTGATCCCCATTTTACAGTGCACCAGACATTTGGAGCCAGCTTTCCTGTAGGGGGCAGCAGAGAGTAAGTCAGATAAACAAGTCACTTAAACAGGCAAGTCATTATCCGCTGTAGGCATTGCTTCATCATTGTGTTAATAATAATAATAATAATAAAACATGTTTTGTATATCACTCAGTTTCAAACATCACTATTTTCAGTCAATGAAAACAGTGATATTATAAAACAAAGGTACAAAATAAGGAAGATTGGGGTACACAACAACAACAAAAACAAAGAGAGACAAGAGTGAGAAACCAGAGAGGGAGAAGACAAGAGAGACCAGAGGGAGACAAGAAAGAGCAACCAGAGAGATCCAAGAAAGAGAGACCAGAGAGAGAGACCAGAAAGAGAGACCAGAAAGAGAGACCAGAGAAAGAGAGAGAGCCAAGAGAGACCAGAGAGAGAGAGACAAGAAAGAGAGACCAGAGAGAGAGAGAGAGAGAGAAGTGAGAGACCTGAGAGAGAGAGAGAGAGAGAAGTGAGAGACCTGAGAGAGACAAGAGATCAGAAAGAGAGACCAGAGAGAGAGACCAGAGAGAGAGACAAGAGAGACAGAGAGAGACAGAGAGAGACCAGATGGACCAGACAAAGAGAAGAAGTAAGGCCAGAGAACAGATACAGAAAAATAAATCAGAAAGACGGCACGAACAAGAAAGACAAGACACTGAAACAATAACATACTAAAACAATAAAACACAAAAAGAAAAAACAGTTAAATGAAGGACGTTGGATTTGGAGTGGAAACCGGAGAGGAGCGAGTTACAGTCATCAGAGAAGGACGAGGATTACGTTCAGCAAAGTTTCACGCAGTCGGCTGTGATGTCATGAACTCACTTGGCTCGAGCGATAAACTTGTACGTGTCGTTCCAATAGGCCAGAAGGTCAGTGGCCTCTTCGTCGTAAACCCGGATGTTGTGGTATTCGAACAAACCGGGGAAGAAGTTGTCGATCTCTCGCGTTACGTTCAGAATGTACTGGACCCTGGAGCAAAAAAAACAAAAAAAAAACATCATAAATAATTCAAACATAAATAATTATAATAAGTCATGTGGGCTTAAACATTCTCATTCGAGATATGATCCAAAATGTTGCCTTTTGTAAATCACTGACTTTCTCACTATGACAAGAGTGCCCCATTGTGACTATGTTGATTCTAGTTTAAAGCAAAATAATGTAATAAACAAGAACCTTTTTTTAATGAAAATATACAAATCATGCCTATTTTCTCCTAGAAAATCCACTTTTGTTGTATTCAAATGTTTTCCCAGATCATAAATTTCAATGAGAGAGATCAGAGAGAGAGAGACCAGAGAGAGAGAGAGAGACCAGAGAGAGACCACAGATAGAGAGACCAGAGAGAGAGAGACCACAGATAGAGAGACCAGAGAGGGAGATCAGAGGGAGAGATCAGAAAGAGACTAGAGAGAGACCAGAGAGACCACAGAGAGAGAGAGACCACAGAGAGAGACAAGAGGAAAAAAAGACCAGATGACCCAGAGGAAGAGGGACTAGGGAGAAAGACCAGAGAGAGACCCAATAGGAAGAGACCAGAGAAAGAGACCAGAGAGAAAGAGAGACCACAGAAAGAGAGAGACCAGAGAGAGAGATCAGAGAAAGAGGGACCAGAGAGAAGGACCAGAGAAATACCCATAGGATAAATCTGATAATGATTAGATTGACAAACCTTCCATATTCCTCTTGTGTCTAAAAGCACCTTCTACTGCAACATCTTACATATGTTTTTGAATATTGTCACCACTTCTAGACTCCTCAAAGAGAAAACAATTGGACCAGAGTTGACATGTGCTGACAAGGACCAAGTCGAACTGTTGTTTTTGTTTCAAGTGGATTGTCCCAGGAATTAGAGAGACATCAGCTAAGATAATAAGTCTGGCTTTTGACACAGGGATTTTTCAACAATATCACACTCTAGTCTCTTTGAAGACCAGAGCGATGGTTTTTGTGCTTACCCGCCGTTTTGCAACTCCTCCAAATTGGACGCGTTCCACTCTGATCCCTGTGGAAACACGCAGCAATTGGACTTTGATTCTTTTCAACAAATAAATGCGCAGTCTCGAGATTAACTGTTCACATTTCTCAGGCTTGAACTCACCAAGAAAACATGGTCGAATATTTCTGTGGGGCTGTCCATCTGCCGCAGGATTATGATCATCTCGTTGTCAATGAACTCCTTAAACTCGCGGAGGTTGCACGTCATGGCCATCTCCAGCTCCGTGCGGATCTAAAACCGCACAGACGTCACATAGTAATAGATGCGGTAACTATGACAACCATATGATTAGCAGTGATTGTAGAAGTTTCAACACTGACACTCCCAGAATTATGAAACTACTACAACTTCCTATAATTTTGTATTTTGAAAAACATGGAGAAAACCAATGTCTAGATACAAAGAAGAATTTTTCAAGTGGAGCAGACGTGGAAAATGTATCTTTTTTTGTCTTTAGAAGTGTTGTTTCAGATATGTTCAATAAAATATATACTAAAAAATGTAAATAAAAATAAAATACTACAACTGCCACTACCCGCAATTTTGACTGCTCCCATTCAAAAATCAATACATTTTTGAGAAATGTAGTTTTCCGCCAGTTTAACCAAAAACAAGAAATTTAAAACTTTTTTTTTTACCTTTAAGTGCTAAAAATAGTAAATATGCCTTGGAAAATACAGCAAGCACATTTCAAATTTAAAAAGATAATTTAATGAAAATAATTACTAAGAAAAAGTATTTACAGATACAAATTTAAATCTCCCCACTGGGATGAGGTAGGGATCTTATAATCTAAATTCCAAACTTACGACGACCAAAATGGTACATGCGCGGAATGGTCAAGCTTCCAAAACTAAAAGCCGTCAAATTGACTGCTCTGGGAGTTCTAGTGATAATAGAGCAGCCGTGTCCAGTGACTGTATTCACCTCTTTGCTGGTGACATTTTCCAGGTCCTTTTGCATCATGATTTCTCTCAAACTGGTTTTGATCTGCCGCTCGGTCCGCTCTCGTTCAGTGGGTCTGCGGAAACAGGGAAAAGAATATTTAGAAAGTTGGAAAAATATGTGTTATTGTGTATTTACCTCAGCCCAGGAGGTAAAGTGATCACCAGCGTCTGTCTGTCTGCTCACATGATTGCTTGTTTTATTTGTATATTTGTGAGCGAAACAACACAAAAGGTTAGAGGAGGGTTTGGACAAAACTCAGAGGTAATTGAAATTTTAAATGAATCCTGATCTGGTCTAGATTCAGAATTAATTTTTATGAAAATGAAAAACACTACGCCTCTTGTTGGAAGTCTAGGCTTTTTTTTTTTTTTTTTTATAAAAAGGAATACAAAATATAGCAGAAGTTGGAAGTCCAGTTTGAAGCAAAAATAACAACTCCAGAAGCAAAAAATTATGTTATCACATTTTGGACAAGGCAGTAAAGTAAACCGTTTTGATCCCAGACTTCGAACACATACAAAAGACAAAAAGCCTATAAAACTGTAACGAAAGGGCATCATTCTTTAGACTTCTTACTTAGGCAACAATTTGTATGTTTTTTTGTTGAGGAAATGTATTACACTCAGGCATTGGGGTGTCAAATGGTTAATAACTTGGCTGTAAATGTACACAATGTGATTTATCTGCAAATGGCAAATAACCTGAATGTGAATCTTTAAAAGAAAAACCAAAAAAAGAAAACGTGATCTTATTTTCGGCCTGGTTTGGAATCACTCACACGTCGGAGAAGAGCACGGGGGAGTCGGCGCGGTGCGACTCCACGTCCTGCATGGCGTTCCACTCGTTGATGCGCGCCTGGTCGGAGGAGACGCGGCTCTGGTAGTAGCTGACCCACGTGAGGAACAGGCTTCCCGGGAAGTAGTTGTGCGAGCGGGCCACTTCGCAGGCTTTGTGCAGGGACTGGAGCGCCGACCTGTCGAGGATAACAAACCAAACACACAACATTAGACACTACAGGCGGTTGTTTAGTGGCCCCTGAAAGGATTCTTAAATATTACCATTAACTTTAGCAGCATTGACGGTGGGTAATCTGAAATAAATCTCTAATAAATGCAGTAGCCATATAGCAAAAGATAATATACTGAGGCCAATCCAATTCAATGTATTCTTGTATAATAATAATAATAATAATAATAATAATAATGCATTGGTTTAATATTGTGCTGTTTTGGACACTCAAAGACGCTTCACATGTCATTATTCTTTCACTTCATACACAGTGGTGATAAACTACTATTGTTGCCACATCTGCCCTGGGGCACACTGACAGAAGCGAGGCAACCAGTCTGTGCCATTGGCCCCTCTGACCACCACCAACCATTCACAAACACACCAGATTCATTCTAGGCAATGTGGGTGAAATGTCTTGCCAAAGGACACAACAATAGTTTGGCACTTTACAGCTGCCCCACTGTGGCTCCTGGTGTTCCCAGAGGTCTCCCATCAGAGCACTAACCAGGCCCTGCCCTCTACAGCTTCAGAGGTCTGACGGGATCAGGCTTTCGCATGGTAAGTATGGAAAAGTATAGCCATTAATCTTTAAACTTTACAAAACCGTCGAATTCTCCAACACAGATCAAACGGTCCAAACACATGAAATGCAATGAAGTCCATGAGGGACATATGACCAATGACCGTAAATGTTAATAAATGTACATTAATATTGTAGATCTATGTGTAAAATATATTTATAGGGCAGAATATACTGGTTTTATATTGTAGTATCTGGTGAGATTTACGCAGAAAAACGGCTCATTTAAATTACGGAGGATTGGAATAAATGTGTTGGTTGATTAATGCAAAAGGTCTAATTTAATGTCTCTCTATCTCGAATGGCATTTCTGTGTGTGAGATTAGATAAGATAAACTTTATAGGGCTCACGATGGAGAAATGTATATGTGACACTGGCATAGATAGGATTGCTCGGGGTGTGCAAAGAGACAGGAAGTGTGCAAACATGTTAAAAAGTAGGGCTGCACGATATTGGAAAATTGGAAGCGATATTTGATACGAGTGTTTAGAAGTAGTTTGCGATAACGATATTATTGTGATATTTTCTTCTTTCACCTAAATTTGCAATCTGCATTGAAACGCCTAAGACAAATAAGAAAAACATTAATGACATTCAAATGCATATATTTATATACTTTTGTGTTTGTTGTATTGAATGTTGATGTGTTGGTCTGCTTTGTTGTCTTTAATAAAGGAAAAAAAAATGTATAAAAATGTATATTTTCAATATGGATATTGCACGCACCAATATCGCATGAACAACATTTTTTATATATATTGTGCAGCCCTATTAAAAAGGTTAAAATATAGTCTCAGTTTTACGGGACTCACCACATGGCCTGCACAGAGACCGGTTTGAAGACGTGGATCTTTTGGTCGGTCGAGACGCTGAAGCCGCTGTGAGCAAACAGAAAACAGAAAATGGTGAGATTGATATTTTTTAAGAAAAGTTTTAACACGCAAAATGACCAAGTTGTATCTCCTCTTACCCATCTCCGTCCAGGTGGATCAGCGTGTCGCTCCACAAAGGCAACACCATCCCTACAGAGCACGAACTGGGAGGAAAAGAACAAGTTTCACATTTACTATTTTCATTTAGACAATAAAAAAATAGCATCTTGAACAGAGGAGGCTGAATACAGAAAGCTTGTAAGTGCCAACCTCCAAAAAAATAGATAAAATGGTCATAAACTTTAGTTAAAATGAGTAAACTATTCCTAAACTCAATTCAATTACATGCATTTGTGAATAGCCCAAAATCACAACAGCAGTCGTCAAGGAATTTACAAAGTTGTAGATGCGCCGACAAGAGATCAGCAAATCAAACACAGACTGGGAGCGAGACGACCATGGTATATAAATGTTAATAAATGCCTTATCAAACACCTCTCAGATCCTAATTATTCACTTTTATATGTAATTTTCAGAGGGATTTGTGGCGAAACTAGCAAGATTTGACCCGATTTATATTTATTTGTATGTATTACGGAATTATTGTCATTTTTGTAGTTTCTCAATTCATTTAGCTATAATTATGATTAGTATTTTTTAGTCTATGTATCAATAATCCTATCTGTCTTTTTCTTCTTAAACATTTTTTTCTTTCTTTCTTGTCTGTTGCTTTCTCTTATGTAGGTGTGTGTATGTACGTATATGTATGTATGTGTGCAAATGTGTACATAAGTATGCATGTGTGTATATGTGTACGTATGAGTGTGCGTGTGTATTTTCATTTTTTGCACTTGAACTGAAAACTTTCACACACATAAAAAAAGTGTTTGCCTGAGCCACAATATACTTTGAACATCCGTTTTCTCATAAAATACATCTCGTTCTTGGGTCTGGCTCTCAGCGTTTATATCAAAGACATCTCCAGTTTGATCCCTTTCAGCAGTGGGTCTCCGTCTCGTCACCTGTCGATGGGGCTGATGTCCATCCCCAACACCACGCTCTCCTCCGTGTCCTGACGTCCGTTTGTGGAGACGACCACCATGTAACGTGTAATCTGGGAGTGCACGCTCTCCAGACGCACCGCCTGAGGACCAGAGACACATCTGTAAATACAAACTCCACCAATGGAACGAGGGATAGGACGTTAGCTAACCCAGCTTTAATACGGGCTAACTGTTCTCATAAATATTAAATTTTGTTTGTCTCAAAACCAACACCTTCTTCACAAAGATTGAAATCTTTGTTTTATTCCTTGTTTTGCCATTAATGATTCGAGAATCATAATGAAACCTTTTTTAGTTCTGTGGCCACATGGTACTTTACCAGTGAGATTAGCTCGAAGCGGTGAGTTTTGGCAACTCGGATCATGGACTTTCCGATTGGTAAAACAGTAGAGGGTGGGACATCGAGATGAAAAACTAAATTTGAAATTCAAATATCTCTGAACTACTGTTATTAGTTAGAGAAGTATTGGAAAAAAGTAAAGTTTTATTAATGCCTTTTGGCAGATTAGGGCCATTTGATGATAACTTGACATGAAAATCTTACACATTGCTACTTTAAAGAAAAAATATTATGCATTAAATAAAAAAATTTATATCATGAGAATATTCACTGCTGTTTACTAGACTATGACATGTCTTTTTCATGTTTTAGAATGGGAACTAAAGTCTAATGTAGAAAATAAATGTATGAAGGGTAAAAAATGCTTTCCACCTGTAACTCTCTATGCTACCACAAGAGGGCGGGGATTTGAATACGTTTTTTTTCTTATTGAAAATTACCAGCTGCAAACACAGGCAAGAGATTGTAAAGAGTAAGTAATTTATGGGCAATACTTTTGTTTTAAAAGGAGCTAGTGTGATATCATACTGTCCCATCCCATACTCGTAAATAATAACTAAAACCGCACCAGTTTGATGTTGTCCTCCGGTCTGAGGAGCGTGAACATCGTCTGGAGATGCTGCTGGATGTCTCCTGCAACATAATTATAAATTATGGTGAGGAAAAAAACATTGTTAACACATTTAGATTCACCACCCATGCATTTGTGGTGTGAGGCTAAAACAAATCAATAAAACAAATAACACCACAATAAAACAAGTTATTTACGTGTTTTGTTTATTTATCTTATTTAGATTCATATGCAGGCACATGATCCGATCAGATCAGATGTTTGAGCAGGTTCTAAGCATGACACAACAATGTGTTCTTACCCAGGCAGCTAGAAATACATGTAGAGTGAAATGTTGTTGAATTGTTCGCCAAATTTGAGCAATTTTTGACTTCATCCTCACTTTTTGCAGCTTAACCTTAACATCCATTCTCCCCATCCCCAAACTGACCTATCTCTTTCCCTCTGGATCGCTCGACTCACCTGCATGTTTGCTGCGGAGTTGCGTGAAGCGTGAACCTGCAGAAGAAGAAGAGCCATTTCCACGAGGCAAGAAGAGGGCCGCCCCTTTGACCGTCAGGAAGCTCTCGCTGATGCTGAGGAGAAAAAAGTTTACCGGTCAAAGCTCAAGGCGTAGCTGGGACACTCATTATTGGAAAGGGAAATGAGCTGGACCATAACAAACTGTTGCATTTCTCCTTAATCCACGTTGAGGCCAGGACAAACTTCTTAAACAAACAGTAATTACATCATGTATCTAGAAGCGGCAGATCGTGTCCAATAACGTGCCTGGCTTAAGTGCACTAGACCCAGTTATGAAAATGACAGCAGTCTCTCACAGCCAGAAATAATGTATTCATCATTATTGACTTTTATTAAACCACTGAGAAAGTCCCACTGATCCAGATTTTATTTGTAGTAAATCCACATTGGAATAAGGGGTGCGATTAAAAAAGTTTTTTCTTTCTTCTTCCCACTCTTTTTCGAGTATCTGCAAGTGTTTCTCTATATAATATTTATAAGTTCATACTATGTGAATGTAACTCCGGGTTAATTATGCACACATTTGATATTCTACTTTTGTTTCTTGTTTGTTTGCTCAAAATAAACATGGCTTAGACATGACAAGTGTCAAAGTGCCCCAGTGTGTGCCAGACAAGTACATAAAAAACGAGATAAAATGTACAAGAAACAATTGTCTGTGAAAACAAATCAACAAAAAACAGTTTCAAAACAAATGCAAGATCCTTAAAGTGCTGAGTTCAAACTGATAACAGCTTGTGGAAAGAAACAAATCGAGATGTCCTGCATCTCAGCAAACGAGATCTTCTGCCAGAGGGAAGAAGCTGGAACATGGCTTTTCCAGGGGCCAGAAGAGTCATTGATTATTAAATGAGCTCGGTTCTTTCGAACTGGAGCACGTTGCCCTGCGCTCTCTTTCTCTCTCTGGTCTCTCTCTCTCTCTGGTCTCTCTCTCTCTCTGGTCTCTCTCTCTCTGGTCTCTCTCTCTCTCTGGTCTCTCTCTCTCTCTGGTCTCTCTCTTTCTGGTCTTGTCAAACTCAGGGAATGCAATAATAACCATTGGTTCATAGGGAGCGGGATGAAAACGGTCTGTAAATGTCCATAAATGTCTTATTTTTTCTATGTATTTCATAAAAACAAAGCAGGACAGTAATAAACAGTTAGTGGGAATGTTTTAATTAGATGAAAATGGCCTTATTGGGTATGAGTTGAGCGGGAGGCACAAAAGCCGTTTGGATCCTCCGCTCAGTACAGCAGTCGCATAATGGACTTGGACAACACACAAAGCATTTCTGCAGTTTTTGTGCCGCTCTGACGTTTTTCGCTTTATCGGCTTTGAAAACCGTTTAGGATTTTTGACAAAAGATTTGAGACGCAGAGTTTAGAATAACTGGTGATTAGTAAAAAGTGAAGACATAAAATATGATTCCTACTTCATGCCGTTTTAATCCTACCTTTCTTTTGTGCCATACAAATAAAGCCGATATAGACATTGGGCTAAATGTATAGGTACTCCAGCTTTGAAATTCTATTTGCTTGTGCCAACAGAAAGTCTTGTAAAAGTACAATGGGAACTAATCAAATCACAACATGTAGTTTTTATCTCATTAGAAAAATAATGTTATCTTTTGCTACTTGTCATAAAGACCCCTGTGAATCACTATTTGACTCTTTAGGCTGGTCCGCTCTCTCTTTTCATTATTATGTCTGAAAAAACAAAAATTAAAGATGTGAGAGGCATGTGAAAACCAGAAACCGTTTTGAGCCAGGAACTAAGTTAAAGATTGTGTGACATTAGGACCATTTTTGTGGTGTGAAAAATAGGTCCCCAAGCTTTAAAACGACCAAACACGACTAAGCCTCAGTATATTTACCCTTCTTGTGATCCACATGATAACATGCAAAATAGGGACTATCCACTCAAAAAGTAATCAAAATCTTTTATCTTTCCTTCATTTCCACTCGTGCATATAGTCTTTGGCTAAACATGTGCAATTCTTGTGTATTAATCTTTGTTCTAGCCTCAAATCCAATTGCTCCTTATTATGTCAAAAGATAGGAATACTATATGGCATGGTCATAATGATTTGGCCGATGTAAAGCTGTAGTTCAGCGCAATGCCTGACTCACTCAATCTACTTACTAGGACGCACGGGGGACAGACTGTGCCAACTTCTTAGACAAGATTAAGACAAGGACTAACCACATGGACAGCTTTTTTTAATAACAAACTAAGAATATGTTTGCATTAGAACATAAAACACAATTAGAAACTACATCCAACACACAAACCCCCAAATTACAAGCGGAGAAACAGCAATGCGTCAAAAAACACACATGGCACATCGCATTACGTAACGTGCACTTACAGCTGGTCTATCTCCGCTTTTGAAAAGACAGAGTTGTCGCTGAAGTACGGCATCTTCCCACCGTCCGCGCATGAGACGCAGAAGCAGCCGTCCGCCGCGCTGCGAGGGGCGGCCACCACACCGGGAGGCATCGCTGCTCTGGCAGGAGGATGGAGCACGCAGATCTGGGACTAAATTTGTTTTGGAATTCAGAGCCAAAAACGAGGCATCGCGACGTGGCTGTTATGCATTAAAAAAGAGGGCAAAATAGCGTGTGCGTGTGTGTGCGCATGTGGAGTGGATCTATCTGCAAGAGCGCTGCGTCTCATCCACAAAAGGCAGAGAGCGCGCGCGGGGGGAGGAGGGACCAGTGCGCGCGGAGCCAATGGGACGTGGCGCGTGACAACAAAACAACAACAAACACGACAACAAACACTCTGGGTCAACTGCGCAAATCCCAAGGTAACACAGACGCAAACAGAGGGACAGAGAGACCGAGAGAGAGAGACAGAGAAACAGACAGAGAAACAGTCACAGAGACACAGAGAGAAAGAGAGAGAGACAGAGAAACAGACAGAGAAACAGTCACAGAGACACAGAGAGACAGAGAGAGAGACAGAGAAACAGAGACAGAGACAGAGAAACAGTCACAGAGACACAGAGAGACAGAGAAACAGTCACAGAGACACAGAGAGACAGAGAGAGAGAAAGAGAAACAGACACAGAGACAGAAAAAGTCACAGAGACAGAAAAAGTCACAGAGACACAGAGAGACACAGAGACAGAGACACAGACAGAAACAGACACAGAGAGACAGAGAAACAGAGACTGAGACACAGACACAGAGACACACATAGAGGGACAGAGACACAGAGAAGGGCATAAACGTATACAGCTTGATTGGTCGCCTGCTTTGAAGAGCAATACACACATCGCAAACTATTGATAAAGCAATGAATTAAACAACTGAATATACTGCAGTGGAAATGAGATGCTTCCTTTGGCTTAAAAAAAAAAGGTTGGGAGGATGAAAAGGCTGTTTGTATAATTTCCCATATTAGATTTTTTGGGACACTCAAGGACGCTTCACACATCATAATTCATATTGTCTAATTCCCTGGCTCTCGCTCCCTGGCTCTCGCTCCCTGGCTCTCGCTCCCTGCTCTCGCTCCCTGGCTCTCGCTCTCTGGCTCCTCCGTTCCCTGCTCTCGCTCCCTGGCTCTCGCTCCCTGGCTCTCGCTCCCTGGCTCTCGCTCCCTGGCTCTCGCTCCCTGGCTCTCGCTCCCTGGCTCTCGCTCCCTGGCTCTCGCTCCCTGGCTCTCGCTCCCTGGCTCTCGCTCCCTGGCTCTCGCTCCCTGGCTCTCGCTCCCTGGCTCTCGCTCCCTGGCTCTCGCTCCCTGGCTCTCGCTCCCTGGCTCTCGCTCCCTGGCTCTCGCTCCCTGGCTCTCGCTCCCTGGCTCTCGCTCCCTGGCTCTCGCTCCCTGGCTCTCGCTCCCTGGCTCTCGCTCCCTGGCTCTCGCTCCCTGGCTCTCGCTCCCTGGCTCTCGCTCTCCGGCTCTCGCTCTCCGGCTCTCGCTCTCCGGCTCTCGCTCTCCGGCTCTCGCTCTCCGGCTCTCGCTCTCCGGCTCTCGCTCCCTGGCTCTCGCTCCCTGGCTCTCGCTCCCTGGCTCTCGCTCCCTGGCTCTCGCTCCCTGGCTCTCGCTCTCTGGCTCTCGCTCCCTGGCTCTCGCTCTCCGGCTCTCGCTCTCCGGCTCTCGCTCTCCGGCTCTCGCTCTCCGGCTCTCGCTCTCCGGCTCTCGCTCTCCGGCTCTCGCTCTCCGGCTCTCGCTCCCCGGCTCTCGCTCCCTGGCTCTCGCTCCCTGGCTCTCGCTCCCTGGCTCTCGCTCCCTGGCTCTCGCTCCCTGGCTCTCCAATGGTATATGACTCATGAAGACAAATGATTAGGACTCAAATAAGTAAGTCATCTTTATTTATATAGCGCCTTCCACATAAACAGTCACAAAGCATTGTATCATTGTTGTGGGCATGTGTCCTCTCACTCCTGCAGTGACTCAGCCAACAGCCGGCTGAAGTAAACTTTATTTCGCAAGAATAACTCAAAAGGGACTTCTAGCAGCGTAGAATATCTTATTGACTCACTGAAATTATAGTGAAAAGATTCCTATGCCCTCCAAATTATGTGTAAAAGTTAGAAGTGAAGATTAAGAGATCCCTTATTCGTCCCACAGTGGGGAAATTTCAGTGTTGCATCACCAGTTACAGAAAAGAAAGAGGAGCACACAAGCAGCACAAGATAAATGAACAATAACTCTATAATAAAAGAAATAATCAAATCTAACTTTAGCCTAATGAAGAAGCAGGAATATGAATGTTTGTTCTGGTGCAAAATATATATAGCTGTGTGTATACGCCTGTATGTTAGCAGCTTGAGGGTCTGGGACAAAGTGGCTATACGTAAAGAGACAGTGTCTTCATATTGCACATTGAAAACTTAAAACTAACACGCTCTTATCAAGTCTTAAACTATAACCACTGAAGTCTGAGGTTTCTTTAGCTATGAGTGCACTGTGCCAACTATTACTTATTTTAGTTCAGACGATGAGGCTGGAATCGTTACGGTCAACGACAAAAAAGTGCTTTCTGGTCAAATGATCATACATCAAAAGTGTATAACATCAAATCAACAACTTCAAGGCGAGCGCGAAACAGACAGAGGCTGTATTTGAAGTTTACGTGACCGAAAAAGCATGAATTAAATCCGATTATTTGGTTTGAGGAGAGCGTTTGAAGCAGAAGTATGACCACTGGTTATGTCACCGTCACTGTCACGTCTTTTGAGGACAGTTCGACCCTGGGCTTATACAACTGCTTTTAGAGGGAAAAACTAAAACTCTTGCCTACTGGGAAATAATCTTGCCAATTAAAAAAGCAGAACAAGAAATTGGGAATTAGCTTTTCCTGTCAGCAATGTAGAAACGATCACGTGGTTTTGGAGATGAGACTTTGGGCTGCGATTCAGAAGACAAAAACAACCAATTTAAAATGTTGCTCTAGGTTCTGATTAGATTAGATTCAACTTTATTGTCATTACAAAGTCAAAACAATTCAACAAAATGCAGTTTAGCATCTAACCAGTGCAATAGTGCAAGTATAGAATAATATTTACAAAACAGATGTTGTATATTGTTTTTTATATACTGTATGTGTAGCTAACTATTATCTGTAGTCTCAGAGTCGCACTCACAGACAACTCATTCAACTCTCACTAATTGTACATGATTTTAGTGTTAAGGGAAACCATATAAAGATCAGATGACCGGCGTCTGTGCTGCGGTGGCTGCAAGGGTCAGAAACTCGGCTTTCTGGGAAGTTTCTCTCGACTCTACTCTGGGACACTCGACACCCTGAGCTCGTCTGCCAGTAACAGCACAACACAAACAACAACAGCGGAAACAAGGTTGTGAAATCTACAGGCTGGACGTGCGTCGCTGTAGAGGCAACCTCAAGCTTAGGTTTCAGAGACGGAGATGTAAACACCATGTGAGTTTATCAGCTGATGGAGGGGTTATTACACTAGTTACTACTATTTTTTGTTTATTAAATAATGTAATTAAAAAAAAGACCAGCTAAATTTCACTTAAACTGATTGCCACATTCTGCTCTCTGATTGGACAATCTGCTTGAAAATCGTAAACATAAATCTCCATTGTACATCTAATTAAAAATAACCTTTTTAAACCCTTGTGCTGTGCTCAGGAACCCACTACAGGAATCAGAAGTAGAAACCCTAACCCTAAGAAATTGATTTTTCAAACTGAAATTTGATGATGTTTCCTAACTGGACTGGCCAGGCTCATTTAGACCCAGGAGGAAATAATTAGTACATGTGACCTGTTTTCTGGGGACACATATAAAAGATGGAAAATATGACATACGGTCACTTTTAATCAAGAAGTAAAATAATGATTACACTTTTTAAATGAAAAGCTGTAGGAGGAGAAAAATAAAGTAATACATTTTGTAATACATGAAATTGTTTATTTATAAACATGTATTTATTTCACAGGTACATAGTCTGCTAGCCTGTAGTGCGGGCCAGTTATCCATCTGGATCCTTTTTTAAATGTTATCTAAACTCTAGTTCTCTTAGTTTTTCACACAGTATTAATTGTTGCAGCCAAACTACAAGGTCTACTATTATTAATTAATTAGTGGGTAAAATGTCAAATACTACTCTATATATTTCACCCACATTCAAGTTTAACTCCAGTAAATTGAGACAATGTAAAGTTGTGAAAACCAGAACTTGATCATCTGTATCTGCAGGATTGTAATATCGACATATATTGGTAAATCTTTAACGGCAGGTTTAATTACACCCACATTATTTACTCGCCAAATTACTGGTCTAGTTCAGGCGACTGTTCACAATCACTACAACTTTAGGCCCAAAATGGATGAAAACAAAAATGTCTTGGTGCAGCACACACAACAGCTGTGGCACACTCATGCTGTAACAATGTCCTACTTACTGAATGTGTGTCAAAAGAAACGCTCGGTCTGAATACTTAAGTTTACTAAGTCACTTTAATGCCCTGCACTAGGACTGTAAACTCGCACTGCTAGAGTCACTTTTAATTCAATTGTACATAATATATATTACTTGCACATTCCCATTGGAGAATCTTGTTTTAAGACAAACAGAATGTGCTCCAATTAAAGTAACAATATGTAAGATTTTCATGTCAAGTCATCATTAAACGGCCCTAATCTCTCAAAAGGAATTAATAAAACATGCTCTTTTCCAAAACTTCTTTAACTGATAACAGTAGTTCAGAGATATTTGAAATTCCAAATTATTTACGGCCCCTAAATCTTGGTACAGTTTTCATTTTGATGTCCCGCCCTCCATCGTTTCACCAATCAGAAAGTCTGTGCCAGAACAAACCACGTCAAGCTAATCTCACTGGTAAAGTACCATGTGGCCACAGAACCAAAAAGGTCTCGTTATGATTCTCAAATCATTAATGACAAAACAAGGAATAAAACCAGGATTTCTATCGGGGCCTTTGTGAAAAAGGTGCTGGTTATAGATTTGTTGTTGACAAAACTCTGGTTTTCAGATACCATGGTCCCAGCTGGATTTGTCTGCATATCTGGCAACCTGAGTAAGGGAGAGTGGGAGAGGTTGCAGTACCACTTTTGGCCAGATTTTTACATACATATTTTACCAAACGTGAGAAATGTATCACTTTTTCAGTGGTTACAGTGGAGAAATGTTCATATGACATTTGGCATAAATAGAATCACTTTTTAATTAATTAATAGGGGCTGGTGCTAAGTGTACTGGGTGCAGCTCTGACTGCCAACCCCCCCCGACCCAGAAATGGATTAAGGGGAAGAAAATGGATGGATGGATGGAGAATCAGTTTTTTTTAAATATTATCTTTGTTTATTTACCTAAGATTTACCTTGAATAACACCACAGTAAACTTCATTAGTAAACTGCTCCATTGTGATATCTATACAGTTTATCTTGGTATCTTACTAGCTACTAAACTTACAACTTATTACTTAATATTAAACGTTTTGACAATGACAGCTTTATGCAGTGGTGTTATTTTTCCACAGGCTTCAATCAGATTATTACAAACGAACTTGAACCAAAGCTAGAGGTTTAATCGTTGTTTTTACTGCAGCGTATTCTGAGCACAACACAGGACTTAAACTCTATACACACAGACAGCGGCGGACAGTGCGCACAGACGGATACGAGGCATCTGAAGAATGTCCATCTGAATGAAGAGCACCCACTCATAACTCTGCATCACATCAGCAAGGTATGGTTTATTTGTATAGCACAGTTCATACACAAGGCAACTCAAAGAGCTGAACCAAACAAGAAACACACAAAAGGCAGTAAAATAATCACAGTACATTAGAAAGAGTAAAGATACAATCCAGAACCGTTTTTAACCTGGACTTGAACATTGTCAGAGAAGAAGCCTGTCTCACGTGAATCCGAAACGCTGTCTCCCATGTTTAGTCCTGACTCTGGGCACCAGCAGGAGGCCAGTCCCTGTGCTCCTCAGAGTCACCAGCAGGAGGCCAGTCCCTGTGCTCCTCAGAGTCCGAGTTGGTTCATATGGCACTAACAAGTCACAGCTGCAGCTCGAGTCCTGACCAGAACCAGGAAGTGCAACCCCACATTAGTCTAGTCCTACTCTGATTCCTGTGGTTCAGAGAATAGACTTTAAAGCCAACTCTCCATGGCCTTGCACAAAAGTACATCTGTGAGGGAGCACAAGGACTGGCTTCCTGCTGGGCCTTTGAGGAGCACAGGGACTGGCCTCCAAACCCGGGTTAAAAACAGTTATGTTGAGCTGAAGGATTTTATCTTCACTCTTTTTGACATACTGCGATTATTCATGAATTTACGTTTGTATGATTCTGCTCCACATCTTGTTCAGTATTTTGAGTTGCCTTGTGTATGAACAGCGCTATCCAATACAAATAAACCCGCCTTGCCTACAGCATTGTTTTCAATAGACACTTGCAGTTTTATCAAAGCAGCATCAATAGTACAAAAGTCAATCCATCCCATTACAAAACACATTTTAATTCACTTTTAGTTTTGTTCGAATCATTCTTATATTCCGTAACATCTCGACTGTATTTACGGCATGCAGCGGATGGATTTGTCAGTGGTCCCAGAGAGAGAGAATATTTATACAGTTATGAAAGAGTGTTTTATCTGATCGTCACAGTCATGAATCTGTCAAGCCCACTCTCTTTCTCCACAACAGAGGAGCTTAACTGTGAGAGCGCATTATCAAACAAACGCATTACAAAACCCCATCGCAGTGACGTCCACACTCACTCTGTTCTGCCCTTAATCAGCGGCGGAGGAGGCGA